ATATACATATACATATATATATATATATACATATATATATATATATATATACATATATACATATATATATATATATATATATATATATATATATATATATACACACACACACACATACATCTTCTTTTCTGGACATAAATTATGTAGAAATTGTCTGAATGTTCTGTATATATCTTAACCTTAATACCCTTCACCAAAAAAATAGAGGGTTGTCTCATACTCCAGGTATAAAATGTGAACCTTAAGTCCTGAGTTTTATGACAAGTTGTTTGCATGGGCCTTTTTTGATTTGGTAGGCCCTTGTCAAAGATTTTTGAGATATCTAGCTAGAGCAATAGTCCACATGCTGAATTTATTGTCTCATGCCTTGCTTATTAATGACAGTTAAGACATCAACTCTAGATCTAGCAGAGCAAAACCTGTTGTTTCTGTTGAGGTTTTCAACTACTTTCCTTTAGGTAATTCTTATGATCTGATATTAAAAGTAGATACACAATGGATACACAACACAAAGTTATAAAATCAAAGATGCATCGAACAATGTCACACATTTCAAATATTTTATCATTTTAAACACAAACTAATAACATAAGTGACTTACATTTTTGACAGTGAATACCTTCATATCCTGTCATGCACTCACAGCGGTAGGATAAACCAACAGGGATGCATTTACCTCCATGTTTACATGGTTTTTCTTCACATAAATTCACTGCAAGAAAAGAAGTAAAAACATGAGAATGTGCAACTTTATTTGCTAATTCATCTTCATTGTTTTTCACAAATGTAGAAGAATCGAAAAGATTTTATTGATAATATAAATGGAAGCCACTTGTATCCGAATATGCCTGTCTTCTTGAACAACTAGCTAGTATTTATTGCAGATATAGGATACAAATCCTATATCATTCCAACAAGTGACTAAAAAACACAAAGTAGATTTGCACACCCGCAAAATTGGATCAAAATGATTAAAAACAGATTTCGCAATGAGGTGTGAAATTAATTTTCTGACCAATGAAAGGAGGCGATTTGCTAAACCAAAAAAAAGATAACGAGCCAGTGTGAAAAAAAGTCAACAATAAATACAGAGTTTCAAGTCAGTCGCCGAGTCAGAAGGGTGCAGAGATCATAGAAGACTGACAGTGACTCAACCCAACACTAAGAGCCGAAAGTGGATTAGGAAAGGACAACAACAATAACAAATTTACAACTAACTCCAAAACAATTCATAAGTACATTTTCTTTTTATCTTTTATTCCTCATCCACACGCTCTCTTTTTTCAACTTAAATTGATCGCCCCTTTTTCCTTTACACATATACAAAAACAAAAGAAACACATTACTCTGCTACTTTGTTGAAAGACAGCAAACACAGACATTTTTGTCAAAATCACATTTTTTGCTTAAACGAACTAAAACATTAATCCAATGTTCTATTTTCTATAAACGTTCCTTATCGTGTTGTTCATTCATGAAATTTGCATTGTATTTTGTGGGCAGGGTATCCCGTATTAAATTCTCCTTTAATCCGGGTACGCTGAACCCCACACAGATACCTACTCAGCCACATTTGTGTTTGTTTAACACCCACAGGACCCACTTGTGGTTTATACTACTGAGTGGACCTTAGTTACAGTTTATGGGAGGGAGTGCATTATCTGACATGATCAACTGTCTGAACAAGCCGAGTACACTCAAACCCTTGGTCCCGATGACTTGTGGCTTTGTGCTAGCACAAACTTTGATGGCTAGCAAATCATTCTGTCTATACAATTTCACTTATAATTCTTGGGTTCAGGCACTTTCCATAGATGTTGCATGTTGGAATCACCTCTCCAGGCCAATAAGGTCAAGAAGTCACCTTCCTAATAAATCAATTATTTTGAGATTCAAGCCAGGGACTCATGGTCAGAAAGCGAATGTTTTAACCAATTGGCCATGTGCCCATCACCAATGTAGAAATACATTAATACATGAACAGAATAAAATAGCCGAAAGAAAGGAATGGCAAACATGAAAAAAAGTATATTCCTAGTAAATTTATTTAAAAAATTCAATACATTTTAAAATACAATTTGATGGGGGTCATCTTTTATAGTAAATATAGCCCAAAACATATTTTAATTTAAAAATTTGCCCAGTCACCTTGCATGCCAGCATATACAGTATATATATATATATATATATATATATATATATATATAGAGAGAGAGAGAGAGAGGAGTGAAAACCTGAATGTCTTTCATCACAGACAAATCATTTCACAAACAAGTGACAAAAACTGGGACAGAAAAATGAAAGAGAAGAAATCCCAGAAAGACAGTTACCTGTTGTTTTATCAATGTGGACTCCCCTTCCAAAGAATAACCTTTCACCCCTTTCCTTTACACTTTGGCCATCAACTCTTCACCATACAGGTATGGTGAAATTAAATAAAGTTTTCATCTATACTTTATCTGTTTACTATTGTGTTTATCTTTTTTGTTTTAGATTTAATGATTTTCATTGGTTTTGTGTATGAACTTGTGTTCAAAGTACTATTGCAACAGTTAAAATAAACAATCATCTGTGGTCCAGAAACAGATTAATCCATTTTACAGTGAATCCTAGGGAAGAAATAGTTTCGTTTTACAAACATTTTGGCCTACAAATGGCTTTCAGTAATTAATTAAATTCATAAACCAAGGTTCCACCATAAATATGTATATTTATGAATTGTTCTCAAAGAGATCTTTTATACCGATATATATACTTATCACTAATTTTTCCCATACAGAGAAACTATAACATATGTATACAACAACAGTATGAAAGGGGTAAAAAGAGAAAAGGTTTTTACTTGTAGTATTTTTCCAAGGAAAAATGGGAAGATCGGTGGTGACCTTTATATGTCAGGTGAGAGCATGTGGGTTGCTTTGTTAAGCCCTACCACTATGGGTTTGTGTTTTGTCTTCTCTGCAGATTACATAACAACTGCACTTGCAACCATAGATAGTCTCAATGTATGATAAATAGCAACTGACATGGAATGATGAGTCTTGCTTTGGAGCAGAATACACAACAACTGACTCTTGACACTTTATGAACTGATGTCAATCACCAGCCACCACGTGACCCTCATCACTTCATCTCACCAGAAGGGAGATAACTGCCCTTTGCATACCTACAATGTCTTATAATGTATAGCCTCATGAAGTAGATGAACAAGTAGTTCAATCCACATTTCAAAATATGATGTGCAAACCATTCACAACTTTAAAAGAATCTGCATGCAGCTGGCACATGAGAAAGGAAGAATAAAAATGGTTTTCTCAAATTAAGAAAGGGAAAACAGATTCAATTCCCACTGAGATATATATTTTATTAATTAAAACTTCAACCTCTAGGTCAAGGGATATTAATTTTACTGCCTAAAAAAACAGATGTTTACTCAAAGTGGTCTACTCACTAAATATAATAATAATAATAAGAAGAAGTAATATTATTTCCTTTAAATGATTGCTGGATGTTTCCATGACTTAACACGTGTTTAACCTGTGCACCATCAAAAAAAAAATCAGTGTCAACTCCATCAACAATGTTTATTATTTTATGAAGCTATATTTAAAATGTTAATAACAACAGACATTTTATACATGATTTACATCCTTGTGCAAATTAATTGGAACAACCATTTTAGTTTCCTTTCTTTCACCATACAGTCAATTTTAAACCCACTGGAGTGACAGTGTGTAATCGATTTTTATTTTTCCTCAGATTAAGTCATTTGCAGTGGTTTGCAGTAATATTAACCTATTTTTGGGGTGTATAATGAAATTTGTTTGGCCCTAAAAAATATTTTGTCATCTTTGATTGCATCAGATTTTTATCATGCCCAAACACTACTGTCCTGACTGTTGATTAGTTGTCCTATAGCCATTGTCTGCAATGGACATTACTCCAACAAAAATTTATAATGTTGCACGAACACAGTGGCAAGCATTACCAGTGAGCAAATCCAAGTACTAGACTAGCACATAAACTCTTCTGATTTAAATCCAATCAAGAATCTGTGGTCAATCTCCAAGGAACAACTTTGCGGAATGGACATACAAAGTACTCACATGTGCATTGGGTCATGTTTCATTGGAAAAATATGAAAAAGTATATAATTATGGAATTATTCATTTTGTTTCAATTAATTTGCACAAGGGTGTAGTTGTTAGATTGTTCATTTACAGGGTAAATTCTATATTTACAAGATTATAAAATATGCGAACGTTTATAACAACATCAGTAATGTTGATTATGATGATTGTAAGCAGTTCCAATCACAAAGTGGCAGTTTTGACTAAGGTTGTTAAGTTTGATACATTTCATATCATCTTTGTGTTGCTCTGACTTTTCAGAAACTAAACTCATAATTTATCCTTCCACCATAATCCCAATGGAACAGTGAATGTTTGAATTGATTGACAATTAACTGATGTTTTGCCACACATTCCAAAGTACACAATTCCCTGACTTTGCCAATTGCTTTGGTCAAGATACCTTTACAAATTTTATCTCAGTCATCACCTGGCTGAGAATACATAATCTATTTGAAGATTTTCTAGGCAAGCTTCATGTAAATTTTTAGAAAAATTAACAATGATTTAAAATGTTTTTCAAAAAAGATTAGGGGAGGATTTAACCTATAATTGATGAAGTTTCAGGCCTTGGATATTTCTATTGATTAGAAATCTGTTAATTGGAAAATTAAAATAAGAAGTAATTTGAGATATAAAATAATCTGAGAAGAAAATTTAGAAAATTCAGAAAAATCATGAGATAATGATTATACCCTTTTTTGTCTAAATTCAGTAATTTGGAGGTGAAAGTGAAGTGACATCACCAGGGCACAAGCCTGGGTGATGGTATATGAATGTCATGTATGACTACAAGGCCTTCCTCTCAGCTTTACCAACAAGATCCAAAGGAATACAGAACATTACATTTGGAGATGGCTTAGCTGCCAGAAAATTATCAGTGTTGACTGCCAGCTACTTTCAGAACTCCACTACAAGTTTTCTGTCTGGATTCACTTCTATAGCCTCTTCCATGTTTGGATATTACCGCAAGGCAATGGAGGTTTAAAATCAGGAGTTACCTTCCGCTAGATGAACTGCCTTCCTGAACTATTGAAATCCATCTGTTCAAAGCAACTAGTTATGAGGTACCAGAAGTCCTCCTTTCTCTAGCATGGAGTTGGAATTAGCTGTCAGCAGCTGTTTGAGACACATGCCATGGAATTCTGTAGATATTTTGATAGTGGGGACAAGTTCTCACAGAAGTAATATAATCTATTATATTAGCATGACACAATTTAAAACTATTTTAAATATTGCATTGTTGTTAGCTCACATATTTTAGAATTTTGTAATTATAAAATTAATCTGTTAAATACTGTTGTGGTAGGATCCACCTAATTTACATAGTGGAGTACCGACCATATAAATATGGTTGGTACCGGGAAGAGAGTAGAGAGGAATCAAGAGATTCAATCCAGAGACTCTGCCCAACTGTGACTAAGTCAACACATTCTCCAGGAACGGTCTTCCCAAGAATATACAAAAGACTATATGTAAATATTGTGTACCTTTCTTATTTCAATACATTTTGTTCTAAGTACATTTTGTGTTGTATTCCATGCATTAGTCAAGTTTCAACAAATACAAACTAAATATTATAAAACATTTCTGTTTTTTTTTTAATTTCTAAACAATATTTTTAATTTTAAAACAAACATTGAGGGAGTCAAGGGAGTATGAAATTGTAGCAGACTGTGCAGGTGTATGTGTTGTTAAATTAGGAAACACGAGTGTTTATTCCTGCTAGCAGGTCCACTACAAGAACATGGCGGACTTGTAGATTGAATCCACCATAAAGAAGTGTAAAGAAAACCAACAAGACTGATATATATATATATATATATATATATATATATATATATATCAACAAATATATGTATTAAACAACAAAATTTACAATGAACATAGACATTAACATTTGTGTTTGTGTGTAAACGTAAAGAGTTTGTATTTTGGTGGATGTCCGTACGTACGTGTATGTGTGTTTCATGGCGTTTTTCCACAAGTGGGCAAAAATGCAAATGTCTGCAAGAGATGACATGCTTAAATGTGTCCGCTGAAATGCAAAGTAAAAAGAAGAGAACAAGGCGATAAGTCACCCAGTATTTATAGTGTAGGGAGAGCGACCCCTAGTGAACAATTAGGGAATTAAGGAGGAGTTAACTCCAACAAAGTAATGGCAATGTCAAGAGAAAAAACGACCTTTTCCCACTGTTTCTTACAGGCACAGTTATTAAACTTTGCAAACTTATGACATTCAGTAATTCCTTCTTAGAGTAACTCTCATTTTAATGGGAGTCACTTCACAGGGCCATTTTTCTCTCCAAGCAACATTCAACAGGTAGTACTGGGCTGCATAGTACAATCAGCAAAGAACAATTTCTGTCCAAGATTAAGTGCTTTTACAAGAGTAAAGGGATCCAGTTGCCTTAAATATCACTCATACCTAAAGGGTGACGGATTCCTGTCTTTCCTAAGGGAATTGGTACAAAGTGAACACAAACAGCCCTCAACCAGAATTTGAACTTGGTTTGCCTTTTTCATTTCCTGTTTTTTAACCATTTGTCTTCACACATAATTTAATTTAATTTCAGCAAAGTATATTAATTGCTTACCTATAGCACAGTTCTTTCCTTCATCTTCTGGTCGACATTTGCAAATATATCCCTTGCCATGATTAATGCATTTCCCACCATGCTGACACGGGTGTGACATGCATGGATCGACTATGAAGAAAGAGTGAGAAATAAAAAATATTTATATATAAATATAAATCAATGTTCATCATTAATTCCTAATGTCTACTTTAGCATATCAATATTCATCTCATCAGAAAATAAGATTACTCATCAATTTGTGTCTATCTACCAAGATAACACAAGAACCTTGACTGGGGAAAAATGACCAAGAATTGCACATACATATTTAAGGGGGTGTGGAACATCTTTTTTATATCCATTATCTTCTTTTCTAGTTACAGAGTAGTAGTTGTTCCTGTTACAGGTCATCAAGTGATGATGTTTCTGTTATTTGGTAATGGTAATGTCAATATTAGCTGTTTCCTTATAAGGAAACATTCAACGTTCATTGATCCAGTACTAGTGTTGGCTGAAATTGATAAAATCTCTTTCTTAAAGCAATATTTCTGAAAAATAGGTTTTCGAGAAAACAGTTGTATATAGCTGATATTTTGAATATTTCTGAAGTTGTTGGATAGCGTTCATGACATCTATATGAGAGTCTACTTCTAAACAAGTTCAAACATTCCAAAAAGTAAGGTAACACCTATCAGATCGGTGGTGGTAAGTAAGTGACACATGGGACATCTTCCCATCTACTTCTTTTTTTTCTCATGACTGTCAAATGGAACAAATCTTCCTTATACATAATATACAGCTTTCTGAATTACTCTAAGCATGACTCTGTCTATTTAAGATGACAAATGGAATTCCCTACCTCCAGCTGAATGCTACTTGATCCCAAAATTTAACTGATTTTCTCTACTTCCTTTTTCTATACGTGTGGACACAACATGGTCGTTTTGAAACCTCATATCTATAAAAACATTAGATAAAAACATTTACCATTTTCTTTACTATGTAGGTCTCCTGATTATGGCTGATTCCCATTGTATCATGCACAATATGTGTGTATGGATATATATTTATATATATATATATATATATATATATATATATGTTGTATCCTTAAAGAAGGTTACAAACAGACAACGGTGGTACTCAAGTAAAAGGAACAGCAGCACGGTGTAGATGAAAGAAAGGGAGGTTTCTTGTAAAAGAGAATACACTACTGAAAAGACAGGGAATTGGTTAGCAGGCTAGTAATTCTCGAAGCAAGCCCACCAGGTATATCTTGTGCTTACCATATATATAGTCAGTCCACATATGCGACAGGGAGTGTGGACATTCCATTACAACAATATATATATATATATATATATATATATATATATATATATATATATATATATATATATATATATATATATATATATATATATAAATATTAAAAAGCTGTCTACATGCAATCTGTGGAGTTAAATTTCAAGATAGGACATCTAACATAGACCTATTTAACAGATGTAATATTTGAGGAATTGAGGAATCGAAACTTTTCTCATACAGTCTCAGTTACAGTGGACTGGTCTTGTCTTGAGAATGTCTGATGACAGGATACCCAAGATCCTAATGTACAGCCAGTTAGATCAGGGCTACAGGAATGTAGGACGCCCATGGCTAAGACACAAAGGCAAGCTGAAGAGCAACTTGTCAGCTGTCAATATACCTCATAACACCCTTGAGCACTTAGCCTTGGAGCGGGTAGAATGGAGATCAGTGTGTTTTAGTGGACTCAGCAGTTTTGGCTCTTCTTGTCTGAATCATCTTCAAGATGCGAGAGCAAGAACTAAAAATTTAGCCAACCTAACAGTGATCTCATCCCACAATCCTCGCTCTTGCTCCATATGCGGCCTTCTTTGTAAATCACTCTCGGGTCTTAAATGCCACTTAAGATTATTGCACAAAATTTCATAACAGAAACAATTAAGCTGTCAGATCCGCATACATTGAAACTGATAGGAGAGTCCATTATATATATATATATATATATATATATATATATATATATATATATATATATACACACAAATCCAGCATCTTCTCACTTCTTTTGGAGGAACCCATCCCTATTTGACATTCACACATCATATTAGTAACCATACTGGGTTATATGGGGCCAAGATTGTTGCACGATCTTGCTTTTGGACCCTCTCTAGTTCTTTTCCACTGCCTTTGTGTCCATTCCATCATTTTAATAGTGTGGTCTCTAAGACAAGAGACATGGCCAAGCTCATCTGTTTGTTCTTCTTGATAGTCTTGATTATGTCCTTCACTCCAGTCCACTGTCGAATCATGCTGTTTCTCTTCCTGTTACATGAGGTGATGCCAAGCATGATTTCCTCCATTTTACATTGAATCACTCCAAAAATGTCTGCAGTGGTGGTGTTGAGTGCTCATGTCTCACTTTCATAAGTCATTATCCCAGCAGAATATATTCATTAAAAACTTTTCTCTTGGATTTCTCATATTATAAACTTTGTCAAAAGCCACCCAACCAAGCACAATCATTCTTTTGACTTCCAGAACTATATAGTACATGACTGTCTACTTACTTGATTGTCTTTCCATCTAAAATAACTGGTGATGGTTTAGGGTGGCTGTTAAACATGACATTGGTTTTCTCAAGATGCATGTTAAGGCCTGCTGGTTGGCTCACAGTGTGAATAGCATTGAGCATTTCCTACATTTCTTGTGGTGTATCAGCTATTAGGATGATGTCATCTGTGAAGTGTAGGTGGCAGAGGAGTTCACCATCTATGTTGATACCCTTATTCTTCCAGTTGACTTTACATATATTGTATATACTCGCATATAATGCGACTTTTCAAGATGTAATTCTTAAGCTAATTTTAAGGGGGTCACATCACACATGAGATATAAAATTAGCATATTTACTGCTGGCCACTGACTATGCCATTGACCAAACTATATATCCATTTACTATAGTCAAATTAGCTTGAAAATTAGGTTTTAAAAAGTCACAAGGTAAACAAATATATATATAGAACTTCTGTCTATCAATTTTTTTATTAAATCTTTCCAATACATACAGAAGAATACTTGAAAACAACCATAGCAACATTTAAAAATACTCAGGGAATAAATAATCTAAAATAAAAATTAATAGGAATTTTGTAAAATTTACCAATACCACAAAACAACCTATTCAGAAATTTGAAAGATTTAATAAAAAACTTAATAGACAGAGCATGTTTGAGAGAATTCTTACTGAAAAAATACACCATATATATATATATATATATATATATATATATATATATATATATATATATATTAGGACTTTGAATAAATTCTCATGGATTTTTCAATATTGTCCATCACTCGCTACTACTTATTCCCTGTTTCTGGCAGCAACTGAATTCCACGCTGGAAAAATGACATCTTTTGAGTCAAACAGCAAGTCGTCCCAATTTTAGCATTTCATAAAGTGCTGCTCAGCCAGGCTATATGCCATCCATCAGAACAAGTGATAATCAGATGGGGCAATGTCTGGTGAATACAGTCTGTGGGGTAGGACTTCCCATTTAAGCATTTTCAAATAGTTCAGCCGTTTTGCAACAGGTGTCCTAGCGTTGTCATGTTGCAAAATTATTTGCCATGTCTCTGCTCATATAGCGGACATTTTTTCTTCAGTGCTCGGCTCAAATGCATCAGTTGTACTTGATAGCGATCTCTTATGATGGTTTTGGTCGGTTTGAGTAGCTTGTAATAAGCTACACCTGATCGCACCAAATGCAGAGCAGAATCTTTGAACCATGGATATTCAGCTTTGCCACCAATGTTGATGCATGGCTGTGCTTAGTCCATGATCTTCTATGCTTAGGATTACTGTAGTGTATCCACTTTTCATTAATGGTCACAATACAATGCAAAAAAACGTTTCTTTTCTGCCATTCTACCATTGAAGCAACTATTCACATGTGACAAGACACTATTCAAAGTCTCTTGGCTTCAACTCATACAACACCCAATGTCCTGGCTTTTGTATCATTCTTAATACTTTCAAATGTTTTCAAATGGTTGTGTGTCAACTCCTAATGATTCTGTAAGTCCAGCTTGTGCCTAACATGAATCTTCATGAAGTAATGCCTCCAATTCTTCATCTTCAAACTTTTTTGGTGTGCCAGAGCATTCTTTATCTTCAACATCAAAATTGTTATTTTTGAAGCATCTAAAGCATTCTCTGCATATTGTTTCCAACAGAGTATGGTCGGTGTAAGTTTCAACAAGAATTCTAGTGCTTGAGCTGCAGATTTCTTTTGAATAAAGTAGTGCAGTAAAATTCCCCGCAAATAAACTTTCTTTGGCACAAAATCTGACATGTTTAATGCAATGACAAACAAAGTTGTTTACACTTTGGCAAAATGAGATACACTGAATTTCAAGCTTGCTTATAACACTTCCCTTATAGATGTGTTACCATCTGAAACTACATGCATGCAGTTCTGGGAACATCATCTTTTGGAAGATAGCAAGAGCTTATTCAAGGTCTTAATATATATATATATATATATATATATATATATATATATATATATATATATATATATAAGATAAAGAACAAATAGGAAACGTTAGGAAATTCTTTATCATATCATCCTGTTGGATCCATATTTGAGCTTCAAATCATTGATATATATATATATAAAAGTGAACACTGACATCAACATCCAGCAGAAACAGTTTGTTTCATTCTTAAATGCAATTGTCAGGCTATGGGTGTTGACCTCAATGTCAATTTACATAAACTCTATGCCTTATATTGAGCACTTTAACTCATAAATATAGCATACCTTAAAACTATATTTTTATCATGCATATATATATATATATATATATATATATATATAACAGAGAAATCCAAAATCATCTCATGAGTTTAGTCTATTTCAGCTAATGATAATAATACTTTATGAGTATAGTCTATTTCAACTAACTAAAGAAGTTGAATAGGGCTAACGCATTCAGCGTTAGTTGAAATATACTATACTCATGAGGTAAATTGGGATTTCTCCATCATGTAATTTATCTGCTCTGTTATAATAAATACATTGAGCTTTTATTGTGGATCACTTTTAATATTTTATATTATTAGGATCCACTTCGATTATATATCAATGGATTTATTACCTGTATTATATGTATGTATGTATACATATATACATATATATACATATATATATATATATATAGTAGCAGCATGGCCCGGCGTTGCCCATGCTTGATTCAAAAATAGTACGACCAATACAGCAATCACTATCACTTGACTTAAAATATTTTTGCCCTTCCTTGCCTTTAGAGGAGTGCCCTTTGCTGTGCTGATGTTGTTACATGCCTTACTTCTTGCCTATCTCACACTGCAAATTTTTTCTAAGCTCTACAGTAAACATTAAATCTGTTACGAAAAAAGAACTAAACAAAATAAACACAATACGATCAGCTTTAAAAAACCGGAAAAAACATTTTTAAGAGTTGACTGATTGTTGATTTGCACTCTGTTTGGGGGGTGCTCAGAGTTGAAACTTCACATGATGACTCCCAATGGCCTCCTCATAAATCCGATCGGTTTTCACTAAAAACCGACATGCGGTTCAGGTGCAATCTGGGTGTATCGGCTTTTGGTTTTTATCGATTTTCCATGCTGTTTAGGGGTCCGTGGTCATGAAACTTCTGGACAACACTTCTAATGGTAGACTCTAAGAGGGTGTCAAATTTGGTTGAAATGTGATCATTCCTTCTGTAAGCAGAATTTTTTCGATTATCAATTTTTTCGGAACCTGATTCCGAACTCAAAAATCGGGCTTCATCATGTCCTTACGGCAGCCATTTGCAAACTTGTGTTGAAAACTGCATCGAAATCGGGTGAGAAATGCAGCCTGGGCGAGGTAACAATGCCCACGACAGACACACAGACAGCCAACATGAGAAATAGAAATAGTAGATATTGACAAAATTGCCAACTGGATTTATAACAATCTTATATAAAAATATAAAGAACTGACATTTTACTTTGTTTAATTTGTTAAAATTAACAAATGACAAGTTTCTTTTTTAAAAAAAAAAAAACTGAGGAAGGTGAATATAGTAAGGAAAATGTAAATTGTAAATCCAAGAGATAAAACTGAATGAACCAAAATACTCACCAATTTCACAGGTTGGTCCTCTAAATCCTATTTTACAAGTGCATTTAAATTTGTCCCCAACATCGGTACAAGTACCAGCATTTTGGCAGGGTTTTCTTGCACAAGCATTAACTGAAAAAAAAAAAAATTATTTAATGTATTTTCTGTCTGAATTTCTGGAATAAGAAGTTACCATTGTTACATTATTCACATATGGGCAATTGTCATCATCTTTGTTGCCATTATCACACAGTTTCAGCTATTGTGTTTTCCGGTGTTTATTGATCCAGGTAAACTTAATGAAATTTTGAATTGAACCCTTTATTTAATCTACAGATAGATTGTTCTCATTCCACTGCCTACGTATAGGGATATCTTGTTCTTATTTTTAGTTCTGCTCCATTATTGCTTGGTGGAGACAGAGTGAACAATAGCTGGACTGCATTGTTCCTTTGAAACAATCCTGAATTTAGAACTTTTCACATAAATAATATAGAGAATCATTTCCCCACATTAAGAATACATTTATTTATGTCAAAACCTTCCCTTGCGTGGCATGAATATACATACAAAATTTGAGTGCTATTCAAAGAAATGTCTGAGAGTACAACAGTTTGTCTTAATGAGCTGCTAAACCACACCCATCCAGTGCTGCACACAAAGCCTTGCCTGGTGTGTTAACATTTCATGGTCATTAAGTGTTCATGGATCTTCAAAATTGGGGCATACTAAAAGATTTTCCATAGTTTATGGATAGCCCTCATTAGCAGTTGGGTTTCTGAGGGTTAGCTCTACAGTGATCAACAGCTTTTTGTAGGCAATTTAGGCAGGACCTGGGGAGGGATTTTGTAGGGGTGAGAGAGATAGAGACTGCGTTTCACGTTTTTAAGGTGGAGGGTTATGGTTAGGATTAGACACTGACTAGGAGCTATGCTATTCAGTGGTTCAGCTGATTGTAAAAAACTGTGTCTTGACTTGAGCCTCTTTGTCATTGGTTCACAGCTTTGGAGTGGACGACGAGGGTCGATTTCCTGCTTCAACTTCTAGAGTTGGGTGTGGACTGTCCTTTTTATGTAAGGTGGAGCAATGCCATGATGCAAGTAGAGGTCATCTACTTTGGTTTGCTTGAGACACCCAGTGATCAATCTGCAAGAGGTGTTTATGGCAAGGTTGATTTTCTTTGCATGTGATAATCTGATCTACAATGGTGAGGTATATTCTGCTATGGAATAGCAAAGGGCTAGGTCTGTGGTGTGGATTGTGCCAGCATGGGCACCCAATTTGGTGTCAACCAGCCTCTTTAAGATGTTCTTTCTTGATTCAACATTGGCTTTAGTCTTTGTATGTAATTCTCCAGTGCAGAGTGACGATGACCCCCACCCCGCAGGGAGATAGACATTATTTGAACATGATTAAATACAGTAAACATTTTTTTCCTTAATATGCTCTGTTGAAATAGGGATGCATCTAATATGGCAATGTATTTTTCATGCAGTTAAATAAGATGCATATCAATTTTAATTGGGTTTTAAAAATTACTTAAACTTACGTTCATTTCCTCATTGCTTTTCCAATATCAAGCATTATACCTTTTATCGTGAGAACTTTGAAATTCCAATGGCTCATTTTGATAACATCTTTTTCTCAAACAATTTGAGATAAATGCAGAATTCACACATTATCTACTTTTCTTGAAATACATTGAAATCAGTGCATACGCATGGCCTACATATCTTTAAAACTAGTTCTGTAGTTTATTTATTTATTCAATTTATCAGTGTGATTGATTGATTTGTTTTTATGGCTTATCAACCTTTTTTAGGTTATTTAAAGCCAGAAAATATTTTCAGATTGTAAGAACATTTTAAAGATAATAAGTGTCTATTGATACAAGTCCTACTAAGTAACCCAAAGCTGGGGAAGAAAGGGTAGATTCTTATTTTTTTTTCCCTAAGTATATTTGCATATAAATGAATACAATGAACCAAACTGGAACTATAACTTGGCTCTCAGATTTCAAATTAAACTACTCACATGTCCAATCTGAGAGCTACTGGTATTCACAAACAGTCACTCATCTACACTCTTGTGCAAATTAATTGAAACAACAAGTTTATCTTCCTTTCTTTCACAATACAGTTTTTTTAGTCCCACTGGAGTGACAAGGTGTAATTGATTTCTATTTTTTCCTCAGATTAGATCATTTGCAGTGGTGTGCAGTAATATCAATCTGTTTTTGGAATGTATGATAAAATTTGTTTGACCTTGAAAAATATTGAATCATCTGTGGTTGCATCAGATTTTTATCACACCCAGACACTATTGTCTTGAATATCAATTAGTTGTCCTACATCAATTGTCTGCAATAAACATTACTCCAAATAAGTGTACAAAAATTGTAATGTTACTCAAACACACTGGCCAGCCTTACCAGTGAGCAAATCAAAGTACTATAGATTGGCCTGAAAACTCTTCTGATTTAAATCCAATCAAGAATCTGTGGTCAATCTGCAATGAATGACCTTGTGGAATGGACATAGAAAGTACTAAAATGTGCACTAGGTCATGTTTCTTTGGAAAAATACAAAAAAAAAGTAAATAATAACAGAATTATTCATTTTGTTTCAATTAATTTGCACAAGGGTATAGGTACTGACAAGGCTCAACATAGGTACTGACAAGGCTCAATATAGGTACTGACAAGGCTCAACATTCCTTAAACTTCTACGAGCACTGGTGTTTCAACATGATATGGCCATAAGCCGAAAATGTCAGTGTAAGAAATTGAACATTTGGCATGTATTGAACGAACAGTTACTGTCAGTTGGAATTTATGAAATCTTTTTCTTAAAACTGTTTTTCAGGAAATTAGTCTTCTCAACTCCAATAATTTATCACTTCTTTTTAATATTGATGGTTGACAATGCTTCATCTGATACAAAATAAATTAATATTTCTGGCACTTATGTCATTCCTCAGTTGGTAAATTCATTTGAGCTTCAAAGAAATAAACAAGGACATTTCTATCCTTTTTAGAGCATGGTTTAATGTTTAAAAAATATAAATGCAATGTCAGTTGTCATCATCTGTTTTCCAGAATCCTGTTCTATTATCATTTCTCCACACTAAAGTCTTTTCATTCGCTTTCACTTTCAGTAACAACTGGTGCCTTTGTGACATTACCATTGATTGATTTTTTTAAAGGCGTATCAATTCTTTATGGGTCATTTAATGCTGAAATTTAATTTTCTTGGGAGCTTTGAAGTAATAAAAATATGATATATGTTATTCTGCTTTCACTGTTGAATACATGGAAGATGATATTCAACTTTTGTGCATATACATATTTGTATGGACATGATTAATAGCAGCAATGATATATATGTTTTCTGTTGTAGTTTTGTTAAAGTTATATTTTGGAATTCAGTTTCTTTCAGAAATTATACAATATTATATGCATTAATGTCATGAAAGAGTTCTTTTATGTTGGTTGTTTGGTAGTTTTTTAAACAGATTTGGGTGAAGTTGCTACAATTCTTAGTATGTTTGATTGGGTATAGTTCTTGGCATGCCATACAGATTGGAAGTAGCTCTTCTTTTAGAATATAAGAACATATTACCATGGAGTATCCGATATGAAGTCGGGACATTATTTTATCTTTCCTTGTTTTTAGTGTTTGATGGCATTGTTCTATAGGTTTGATGTTTTATAATTTGTTGTTTAGACATCCAGATCATAGTTTCTGCCACTTTTCTTTGATGAATGTGCTAACAGTTGATCAGAAGTCTGTGTACAGGATCTTGGTGTTTGAACTATCTTTGCAGGTTGATGATTTTTTGGCTACCAAATTGGCTCTATCATTGCTATATGGCTAAGTATCCACCAGAATATATCATTACATTTTGACAAATATTCTATTCTGTTTAATAAAGTTTTATAATTAGTGGGTTTATCATTTTTCTTTGTTTTTGAGTGCTGTGAGTACTGACATGGGGTGAGATTATCACCTTGCAAGCTAACATTAACATATGAAACTGATTAAATTCTATAAATATTTTCATGGTAATTCTTTTGATGAACTTTAATCTTTGATAACATTATGAATTTAAATGCAATACTAGATTGGATGCAAGGTCACAAATTTTACAGTTGAAATGGATATATGTGTTAGTTCTGTAAAATTCATCTGCTTCCACATATAGAGATAAGTCACATGATATGACACAGTCTCTCATTGGTTATTATACCACATGGTTTTGGAAAAGTCTGAACATGAGGAGAAGAAATTTGGATTTGCTCTGAAATGACATGCAAGCAATTCTCTCTGCCGCTACAGTACTAGTTACCAAGAGTTTAAAGATACAAATTGTCTGGCCCTGTTTCACTCCACCAGATGTATAAGTCCACCTAACATATTCTCTCTATATAGGAAAAGACATTGTGTTTATGTTAATCGTGGTATTCATGTTTTTAAATGTAAATAAATAACTTTATTAAATGTTGATAAAGTTTTCATTCTTATTTGTGTTAGTCCCAAAGTAATGTGGAACTACACAATAGATGTAACTATAAGTTCTATTCTAACAGTTTCTTTACTTCTCACTAGTGGAACTCTTCTGGCTTCTTGCTTTCCAGTCAACATTGATCTTCAAAAATTTAAATGCAATGTCAATCATTATCTTCTGTCTGTTCTTTTATTGTTCCCCCTCCTTAATAGAATTTTTTTCTCTTATTCTCTAACTCTCAGTAACTGCCTTGCATCTTAATAGGTTTATTGCCTTGCCTGGGGTTAAATGATTAAGAAAAAAAATGTAATCTAGAATCAAGGTCTAATTTTTTTATCATATTCTTTAAGATTAAGATGTATATCAGGATCAAAATTATGAATAAACCATCCAAGATTAATGTTTTTTTTTTTCCTTCTGGTTTTGTCCAAGTACCTTTGACTATCTCAGTCATTATCAAGAACTAAGTTTTTATATATATAAAAAAATGTAACATAGATATAATCGTAACGTTTCTTCTTTCACACTTCTCATTTATGGAACTCTCTTCCAGCTTTTCAGCTAATTTGATTTTCAAAAATTTGAATGCAATGTTAATTGTTATCGACTGTCTTCTTAATTTCTGTTCTTTTATTGTACCCTCTCCTTAATAATGTTTTACTTTTTCTCATATTCTTTCACTCCCAGTAACCCCTTGTGTCTTAGTGGCTTTATTGCCTTGCTTGGATTTAATGGTTTTTAAATAAATGAAATGACTTGTTTACAATGGTCACAGCTTAAATTAAAGAGTAGGAGGAAATTTCCTGGGCATTTAATAAAAGTCTGTGTATCTTTGTGTGTGCGAGATTTATAGCATTGAAATTTATTAAACTAAAATTTTTTTACAACACATTGATGTGAGTTGAAATCCTCACAGTATTTAATATACCATTTTTTGAGAAGATTTACAAACTACATTTTGTTCCATTTCACAAACTAATTAATGAACTTTGAATAAGATGATCTGTTTGAAAAATACTTTGACAAAAATCCTACTTTACAGTTTAATGATATCTTTAATTTAATTTTATAAGATTTCATGGTAAACAATATTTTTAAGAAAATTTCTTTTTTTCCTTTTTAACATCAAAGAATAAATTCTTATGATTTCTTACTTTTGAGCATGCAACATACAATGGACATGCATTGTTCTGCAGCCAAATTTCAACTTTTGAAACATATGGCCTTGCAATTTTTTTATAGTTTCAGCGGGTCAAAGTGGAAACTGGATTCTTGTATATATAAAAACGTAAAAAGATATGCAAAAAATAATATTGCATTTTTATTAAGTAAGTATTTGCTATTTTAATCATTAAAATTGTTTTAAAATAGTGGGTGTATTTTATATGTTAAATAATAGAATATATTTCCAAAATTATTAATTAAAAATCTATTGTACTTTACATACTAGTAAAGCCATCTGTACTTTGTATTCCATTACTTGTTTCACTCTTCTCCAAAATTTGGTTTTGATTATTCAATATATGGCTGTTTTAGAGGGTGTGATGGATAGATGGACTAAGTCACAGAATTTTATATATAGATAGAAATTTAATAAGAATATAAGAAAAAGCATTTACCTTCAGAGCAAGTTTTTCCTTTGAAGCCTATTTTGCAAATGCATTTAAAAGTAACACCAATATCTTTACATACAGCACCATTCTTACATGGTTTCCGACCACAGGCATTTACTGCAAAGAAAATATATTAGCATGAAAGAAATGTAAAAATATTTTCTTTTAAAAAGAATACAAAATCATTAAAAAATTCTTAATGTCTACAATTTTAACTTTTAAACATTTAGTCTTGCTTGATTATATATACGTTAACATAAGAAAATCAGTCTATATTATGATAATGTAGTAATTTACTAAGCATAGCTCATATGGGACACAAGGCTTCAATTATTTATGCTGATGACACTATTTACTCCTGTCTTAATAGTAATTCAGATCTGTTCAATAATGCCAAATTGGCAGCTTTTTCTTTTTTAGTAATGTTCACCCAAAACAAGACCCAAGAGCCACTCAAAGTAGAGTATTACTGTGTGATATTGCATGAGCATAAAAAAAGGCAAGACATGAAGTTCTTGGGGTCAATGGCTAACTATAGACTTGAGAATGTCAAGATTTAATTAGTGAAAAACACTTCAGAGTTCAAACACAGATAGTATAGTACGGTATAAGACTTTAGAAGGAAATCAAACTGAGTACTCAGATTTAACTGATCTCTCGTGACAAGCTCATTAACCATTACTCCACTTCAGAATCCCCACATTATAATAGACATAAACTAACATAAAAAATTAGCAACATATTTTGAAATTTATAAGACATAACATCAAACAGGTTTTATTCAATAATTTTAAATACAACTCTCTACCTTCACTCTCTCAATGTAATGTCGTGGGCCTTTTGTTATAAACGTTAATACTTCTTTTAAAACCATTCTTTGCCTTTGTGTTACTTGTTATTCTATCCATTTGCACAAAATTGCCAAATAGATTTTCCTTCTCTTTCTGTGAGACATGATAATGATAAGGATTTACAGCTCTCCACAGCATCCTCTCTTTTACTGCCTTCAGTAATAGCTCTATTTTGCTTTTGTGGTACATGTTCCTCTAACCATTTGCACAATCTTTATGTGCCATAACCTTTCAGAACTTGGCCAATCATGGCTCTCCACAACATCAAATCTCTTACGGTCCTCAGTAATACCGCTTAATGACACTTCTTATCCATTGTAGTACTTGTTCCTCTCTGTTTTTGCACTGAACTACCAAGTGTTTAATTCAAGATCATGTCACCCCACAGCTTCCTTTTTTATTGCTGTCAATAATACTTTATGACACATATCTAGGACGTGTCTTGTTTCTCATACTTATACTTCTAGCAATTGTTTCTCAATCCATTTGCTCAAAATTGATTATTTGCTAACATCCTCTGGTTCACTTACCATCATTGAGCCCTATGAGTTTTAAATTCTATAAGCCTTCTTTCTTCATTACATATCAGAAACATTTCAACTGTTTATATAGTAAATTTTACAACACACAAACACACACCCACACACACACATATATATATATATATATATATATATATATATATATTGGTAAAATCTGCAAAAACATCCTTGAAAGAGCATGCAAATGCAAAAAAAATGCTCTAGGAAATAATCAGTGGCATAAAACAGCAGAAGATATAGAATGGTTTGCCAATATAAAAAAGAGGAATGAATGTACATTCATCCAATTCAATATCTGTGACTTTTTACACATTTATCACTGAGAATCTGCTAATGTCTCACAAAAAATTACCAATCACGAAATAATGGTTATCTGCAGACCAGAAGAAATAACCCAGAATTTCATATTGCTATGGGGGTATTTGAATTAGCAGAGGTATGTGAATTAGTTGGAATCTTGCTATTGTGATGACTAAGATTTATTTTTGACATTAAGGACACCAGACTCTATAGAGATTATAGCATAATTCTCCTCTGTAAAAAACAAGTCCAAAAAATATAGGCCAATTTAAAAAGGAACTGATAAAATTTTTAAAGATCACAAACTAAATATTACCACTACCACCAATGCTAAAGTGATCAACTTTCTCGATATGACCTTAGACTTAAATAATGGTTATTACAAACCATATACCAAAGATCTATATAACCACAGATACATCAGTAAAGAATCAGAAATCTTTAGATAATATAAACAAATCAATCCAAGTGAACTTATCTACCAACTCCAGCAATAAGAAAATATTGGATAATAATAAAATTAAATGTATAAGGGCTTTAGAACTAAGTTATTATAAAGTAAATTTAGAGTATTTAGAAAAAAAAACAATGATAAAAATAAACAGAAACACCATAAGCATAAGATCTTATGGTTTAATCCACCTTTTAATCATAATGTTCAAACTAGTATCTAAAGAATTTTCTAAAGTTAATTCATAAGCACTTTAACCATTCACAAACATTAGAAAAAATTTTTAACAAAAATAATGTCAAGATTAGCTATAGCCCCATTAATGACATAGATAACTCTATATCCCAACATAACATTATATTAAATAAATATATTTCCATCAAAGACAACATTGATTTTTTTTAAATAAATGTAACTGCCACAAAAATATGATCTGTCCTTTAAGCAATAAATGTATGACTGATAATATTGTATACTGAGCTAGCATACATTCCAGTAATGATGTTAAATTTTATTTTGATTCTTTTGAAAATCCTTGGAAGTTTTGTTTCTACCATCTTCAAATGATTTCAAACAATATAAAATAAAAAAGCAGCACTGCTCTCTCTAAATATTTCTGGAAATTAAAAAATTATGTTAATTCATCTTTTATCTCCTAGAATAGCAAGAGCCAAAATCTTATAATGGCAAAGGAAATAGACATAGCTGATATCTTGTTTAAAAACAGGTTATCTTAAAACATTTACATAATTCTAGCTTATTAAACAAGAGAAATGAATTGCTGGTTACATGTAGGCATAAAAATAAATATCTGCTTTAATACATTGATCCAGATTAATTTTTAATGTAAAATACAGTTTGTTTGTTTTTTTTTGTTTTTTTAAAAAAAGAACAAGTAATCTCTCTTTATGCTTAATACAAAAAAATTGATATTCACAACTCTAAAAGAATTTTTATTTTTTTTTACACACATATATATATATATATATATATATACAAATGTCATAAGTGCTTATCAAATATTTTTTTTTAATTAAAATCTGTAATCCCAATATAATATATATAAAAACCTATCACAATATAAGCATCTTGAAGTGGAAATATCAAAAATGTGGAACATGAGGATATCAATAATTCCTGGAGCCCAAAAATTGATTGAAAGGATACCTGGTAGCCTATGCCTTAGAGAAATACAAAAAATTGTACGAAGAGCATTATCTATGTAAAATTTGTGTGATCTTAGGTTTTTTTTTGTTTTTAAATGATCAGTGGCAGGAACTTTGTATACAACAAAAATTAAAGGAAATAATAATAATTAATTAATTATGGATTAATTGCTCTTACTAACAAATCAGCTGATGGAAAATTTCAAAAGGAACATGACTCCATCATGATACTCACATTTCAGTTGCATTTTATTCATGCTGGTTGTGTTTCCTTCACTTTGTCTTGTTAATTACCAGCATAACTCAAGCCAAGTGACATTTGTACAAAGACTTGCTTTTTATATATTTTCATACTTGTGTTTTTAAACAAACTGTATATACTCATGTATAAGATGACTTCATGTATAGTGCAACCCCTGAATTTTCTTGCATGAATTTTAATACCTCCAGAAATTTTTTTACCTTTGTATAGTGCAGAAAATACATGATTTTTAACCTCTTCAAAAAATTTCCCATGTATATTGCAACCTCCTGATTTTTGCATAAAACCTGATCCTAAAACATTTGTTTATATACAATAACTTGAAGAGGACAGACAGGCAGTCGAAATATTGTTAATATTTTCTTTGATTTTTCTTTTCTTAAATCATTGTCTTCTCTAAGTATCGTAACAATAATAATAATAATAATAATAATTATTATTATTATTATTATTATAACTAGCCAAATCCCCATCTTACAAATATTTCTCTTCATAATTTTAATTAAAAAATAATTCATCAGACAATGTTATTTTATTTATAGTAACAGGATTTTTGGTAACTGCCTCACTCAGTTTCTGTCGTTTGATACTGTGCATTTGAAAAATGGCATTTTTATTTTAATCGCCATTACTTCTCAGCCTTTTGGCCAAGATCAAGTATTTGTGCTTAGCAGCTTAATCTGATTCTCACTCTCTACTTCCATTTTCCTTTCTTTCTTTCATTTTCTCACTGAAACCAAGTAGTGCTTTTTTCCCTCTTTCCCTGTGGTTAAAATAGAATTGTCCTTTGCTTATGAGGTATTGGCAGGGCATAACTCGTGCGAAGGAAGGAACAAACACACTTATAATAGGACATTAAAAAATATTAACAGCACTAAGAAGAAATAAGAAAATAATAAGAAAAATAAATAACTACAAATGATAAAAAACAATAAAAATAATGCTGAATGTTAATAATAATAAGTGGACAAACATTGCTTAGATCTACAATGGCTAGGAAGTTATGGAAAGCCATGATTACCTACGTCCTGAAGAGACATGACAAATAAAATAAGTACTTTACTCTGTTCATTTTGAAATTTCCACACCACACTGTCTTTTTCTCACTACAATGCATTTTGTCTTTTTGCAATTACGGGCCAATCATTGCCAATGTGAATAAATTGCAAGCTAGTACTGTTTGTTCAATATGAACAAACAGTAAAATGATTATCTCAATTCTACTTACTATGTTCACACGTGTGTCCATTGAAGCCTGGAGGGCATGAACAAACAAAGCTTTGCCCTCTGTTTGTACAGGTGCCACCATTCTTGCATGGTTTAAGACCACATGGATTCACTGAAACATAAAGAAATAACAATTAACACTCAGAAATGGCACTTAACAAAACATGTTATCAATCACAAATATATATATATATATATATATATAATTGGGTGTTAACCAAATTGATGAAAACATAACTGGTGAAAACTACTTAAACATACTGGACTATTGCTTTCTTTCACAACTCACCAGAAGGGCTTTGCCCATCTTTATAAGTCTTGCCATTCATCCCTGCTTTGAATATTGCTTCTGCAGCTGCTGTATATTTAGAGATTCTTGATAAACTCCAAACAAGAATTAGCAATATTATTGGCCTCAATCTGGCATCTCAGCTTTAGTTATTTTCCCTTCTCTCTAGCTATTCTATAATTACTTTAATGGTTATTGTTCTGATGAATCATTCTTCCTGCAGTACATAGACTTTATTAATTTTAGCACAATACTTGATTGGCATCAAGGTCTCAATATATATATATATATATATATATATATATATATATATATATATATATATGGCATTAACTAAATTGATGAAAACATTGCAGGTGAATATTTCTGCTACATCTGGTCCAGTGTTCCTGCTGCATATTTAGGGATTCTTGATAAAATACAAACAAGAATTAGCAATATTATTGGTCCTGAACTGGCATCTCAGTTTCAGTTACTTTCTCACCACTGTAAAGTTGCTTCCCTGAGCCTTTTCTATAAATATTTCATGGTTATTGTTTGGATGAACGCCTTTTATGATACTTAGCCTTTATGAATTTTAGCACTTTAAATGACTTTAAGGAAATATATATATATATATATATATATATATATATATATATATATATTTGTTTAAAAGTCTTTTTTGACACAACAAATCTTTTTGAGGAAGTGTTGGATGAAAATGGTTCCCTTTAAAGAAAAAAAAGAATGTATGCTGTCATGTAACACACATATATAGTGAGAGTATTATATATATATATATATATATATATATAATTTCTTCAAAAATTATAACTTAAACATCTTAAAAATCACTACAAAAATACCCATTTTGTTTCAATACTTCTGGGGTCTTATCAAGTGATGGTTTTGAACGTAATAAGAGTAATATATATATATATATATATAGAGAGAGAGAGAGAGAAAGAGAGAGAGAAAAAGAGAGAGAGTAAGAGTAATATATATATATATATATATATATATATATATATATATAGAGAGAGAGAGAGTAATATATATATATATATATATATATATATATATATATATATATATATATATATATATGGCCTCTCCCATACTATTCTATGTATGAGGGTCAAGCATCTCAATTCCTTGTAATCGACAGCCCAGACGCCAGTATATATGATTTGATTATAGTACTGAAGGCGTTGTGCAAAAGCAACCACACATTTTGAAGAGCCAAATACAGAGACCTGGTGTACTACATGTCAGAATGTCCCCAAACGACCCTCCACAGGTTTTGAATTCAGAGTTGTCCTTCTCCGAGACCAGTTATCATCCAAGGCTATAAAACACATTCTGTCCTGCTATTTACCCATAGCTGGAGGGAGAAGGCATGGATTAATACTTCTCCTGAGTGTATTAGCACATAAGTGAATGTATTGCATTCCGCTGGAATTCAAACTATGTCACCTCTCTCTCTCTCTCTCTCTCTCTCTCTCTCTTTATATATATATATATATATATATATATATATATATATATATATATATATATATATATATATATATGAATAATGTATATTTAGGCAGAAAGTTTTCATCCAAACAAGTTTGATCAAAAAGAACCAACAAGATTAATGTTCTAATGTATTTTTCCAGTCTCCCAATATGATGTTGAGCATTGTGCTTTGAATCTGTGGATAAACTGTCCAAAGTTTATTTTTCTGTTTTTTCACTGATATCACATCAGTTCTTGATAATGACTGCAAAAGTCAAAATTACTAAAATTGTGACAAAATATGAATTTTGGACAATTTATCCACAACTTCAAGCACAATACACAACATCTTATCTAGAAATTGAAAAAATAATTAAGCAGACACACCTTTCTTTTTAATCAAACTTGTTTGGAGATTATATATATATATATATATATATATATATATATATATATATATAATCAAAGTTCTCGTGTCATTGAATATATGAAAGGATGAATGCCAAGTAAAAATAAGCACACTGGCTGAAGTTGTACAAAAGAAATAATGAGTTAGAAATGGTCTCACCTTCAGAGCATGTCTTTCCTTTATAACCAGGTTTGCATTCACAGATAAATCCTTTTGCTTCTGATTTGCACAAACCTCCATTCTTGCATGGATTCAAAGAGCAGGGGTCAACAATAGAAACTAAAAAGTGAAAACAAGAATTAACTCAGAATAAAATTCTATTATTTCTTTCTTGTTCTATTTTTTCAAAAGAAATAGCAGTTTCTGCTTCCATACTTTTAAACTGAATTCAATCAGATTTTATCTCTTAGGTTGGATGTGTGGATAGTGTAAAGGCTGGCAGTTACTATCAGTTAAAATTCATAAAATCTTTTTGTTAAAAACAGTTTGTCAAGAAATTAGACTTCAAGTCAAGTGTTACTGCTGTTTCTATTACTGATGGGAGTTTCCTTCCAAACCTTTTGTTCTTGGTAGTTGTGAAAGTTAACATCTTGATTCTATCATTATTTTACATTTGAGTTACATGTGCTATTCATTTTTGTTGTTACTGCTGTTGGAAGTTTTCAAGTTTTTTGTTATTTTGTAAAGTTCTTTGTGATTCTATAATGCCATTCTGTAGGGTCTGACAACAGATTCTCTTCTTTAATACCTAAAGGATTCATTTGCTTAAAGTCATTTTTAATGCAATAAATTATGACATATTTATTCTAATTAACTGTATTGCTTAGAACAATTAATTTGCTACTTATGTAAATGTAAAATATCTTAGTTGGCAATAATAGTGACAGATGGTGATAAAAAGGCAATGTTCATTTTTTTATGGCTAATTTCTTTAAATAATGTATTGACTATTCATTTGCATCTCATGGCAATAATCTCTGTCTATAAAAGGCAGGATGTGTGTGTGTGTGTGTAATGAATGCACAGCTGCAATTTTCGACGGATTTGCACCAAAATTTGCATGCCAATGCTCCAACTTAGTGGAAAGGCCAAGACTCACTTTGCATTTCCCAACTCCCATTGATAGTGGAAATAATCGATTTTTTTCATGCTTCTACGGCAGTTTTCATGTAGTTTGTGACCATTTTGTACTGACTAGAGTGAGAGCCAATAGCTGGCTGCCACAAATAGGCAGGAAGATTCTATTGGCCAGCCTGAGAGCCAACAGCTGACTGACACGAATGTTAACTAGCATGCAAAAAAATCGATAGCTGCATTCATCACAAGTGGGAAAAATTTAAATCTGCATGGCACTTTACTCCAATTGGCTCATTCGCTTGCTTAAACCCAACGTTGATTCTGATTCCGCAGAACTGGGTTGGGTGTGAAAAAGTATTTGTTGTTAACATTCTTTTTTCATTCGGTTTTTCCAGTTACAAGTCCTTATTTAAAGCTGATCATTTTGTGTTCATTTTGTTTAGTTCTTTTTTTGTAACAGATTTAATGTTTAGTATAGAGCTTAGAAAAAATTTGTAGTGTGAAATAGGCAAGAAGTAAGGCATGTAGCAACATCAGCATGGCAAAGGGCACTCCTTTAAAGGCAAGGAAGGTCAAAAATATTTTAAGTCAAGTGATAGCAATTGCTGTATGAGTCATATGATTTTTGAATCAAGCACGGGCAATGCCAGGCCATGCTGCTAGTTGTAAATAAAATGATAGGCAAAAGTAAGTAAGCAAGTTATTGCTTTATATTCTCCATATACCATTGCCCATTGGCAATGTAAGTTTTGATCTAAGAAATTGGTAAATATAGATGATAGTTTAGACATTTCTGAATCAGTTTGATGCTGTGCATGACATCCACATGAGAATCTAGATCTGACAAGGCTATTTAAGAACAAGACTTGAGTTTTCAGGTTAAAATTTTGGTGTTGTAGAATCTTATGGTGCTGAACAAAAGTACCCTAGTATTTAATTTTATTATCTACTATATGAAATTCTGATGAGAATTTCAATGTAAAATACATTAAATACAACCCCATTTTTAAAAAATCATTTCACCTAAAGCAAGGTGATAATGCCACTAAGATGTAAGGAGTTACTGTGCATTGGAGAGAATTGTAGGACTTTAATGAGGAGAAAGAACAATGAAAGACAGGTTTCAGAAAGACAGAAGATGGCAAATAAATTTTTGAAAATTGTAAATGACACAAAAGTAAAAAAAACTGGAAGTGAGTTCCACAGGTGAGAAGTGTGAGAAAAAGAACTTAAACCTATTTCAACATTAAAAGGATGAAACCTAGTACCCAATCTAGTAGTATGTTTAAATTCTCACAGTTGAGGTACTGTGAAGGAAACCTAATGATAACAACTGCCATGAAAATATTTATAGAAAAGACGGATGGTAGCAACATCACAGTAATGGAAAAGTGACTAAAGTTGAGATGCCAGGTCAGAGCCAGTAATATTACTGAGCCTTCTTTGGATTTTGTTGAGAATCTCGAGATATATATCCAGAGCACTAGATTAGATATGGCAGCTGATGTAATGGAATAACCTGTCACTCCCATGAGTAACTACACTATAGGTAGTAACTACCTTTAAGTGTCTGTAAATCAACAGACTACAGAGACTAGCTGGGATCTGTTGAGTACAACTCAGATTTACATGAGAACTACCGACCTTCCAATAGTAGCAGTCACTACTGGATTGACTTGCGATGACCTTGTGCATAACTGTTACCTTTATTCTTATTGTATTGGTTTTTACAATAAACCATTACGTATTCTATCCACCATGTTTGTCAAGTATATATTCCTATTAGCATAGAATATAACAGCAGCAATATACAATGCAAAGACAAATAGTAGATTTATAAATGTGGATGATGGATTCTGTTGAGAAAAAAATGTTTGGCATGCCAAAGTGAAGTAACATTCCTAGCAGCAAATTTAGCAATTGATTCAATATAATCACTCCATTTCATGTCAGTAGAAAAAGTAAGGCCATGTAGATGCCATGAGTTGCTTGTCTGGAGGTTAGCATCAGCCATGCTGATGGAGGGAAAAATGTACTGAATTAGGAACTGATGATCTTGGGAAGACCATTTATGAAGAAAAGAAATAACATAGGTTCAAGGATAGAACCCCAAGGACTGATGTGAAATGATCTAGAAGCATTGCCATTCAGCATGACCTTCATTACCAGATTTGTTAAAAATGACTGGATTGTCAAATATCTAACATTCCATATGGAGAAGGCCAGCAACATCTGTCAAACACCTTAAATAGTCCAAGCCTTAACATACTTATTTAAAGCTTGATAGTTAACATTAGCAATTGACCTTAAATCCAAATCACTTAATATTGATAATAGAATTATTTAAACTATTTGTATTTGGACTATTGTCCTTATCTTTGTTGTTGTCATCACAATGTTCCAGCTGACATGACTTCCAGCTTTCTTCAAGTTCATATCAATCTGGGTAACTTTTTTTTTTTTAAGTGTTTCACTCCAAGCAAGGCGGCAAGCCACTAGGATGCAAGGGGTTACAGAAGATTTGGAGCAAGATCAGATAGGAATGATAGAGGAAAGGATGAGGAGAAGGATAGTGGATAGATCAAGGCTGGAGATGTTGAGTGACATTACATTTGCATAGTTGGAGATTACAGTTATCAGGGAAACAGGAATAGCGAAGGGAGTTCCACAGGCGAGAGGTGTGAGATATGAAGCTATTGGAATAGAAGAGATGTCTACATTTAGTAGTTTTGACAATGAAAGAGTGAGAACTAAACTCTTTATTTAATACAGGAGTAGACTGTTCCTATTCCACTGTTTATGTCTAGGATGTCATCTAGTTCTTTTTTTTATTTAGTCATTACTGACCAGTTTCCACTGAGTGCAAGCATTCACACTGCCTGAGGGATTGAAGTCACAACCACTGTCACCAAATTCACAAAGCAATGCTTTTATCCACTACATAGGACAATTTGCTGCCATGAACTTGGAGCTTTAAGCTTAATCTGGGTGCTGATTATTAGAGAAAATAATACAATGGAACTAATTACTTACAAAACAGCAGTCACAAATGGATGTATATTTAAATGTAAAGTCAATGAAATACAGCCCATTATAAAAGCAGAAGCACAATGACTAAATGAATGATATGAGAAAGAAAGATTTGAAATTTGAAATTACTGACCGAAATATTTCAACTTCTTTTCATAACCTAAAAATAAAAAATGAAAATAATATTTTAGGAAATTTGTTTCTTCATGATTCCCAAGCACATTACAATTACCGTCTGATGAATATTATTACTGAATTAATGCAAGGTACATTCAATTCAATTAGCCATAACATTTAGTAAAACAGGAAATAAATTTTCAATAAATAAGAATGTATAATTAATAATAAAAATCTAAAATGAATACCATATATTTCCACACATAAGGCAACCTATAGATAAGACCCCAAATCTAGGTAAATTAAATAAAGTATTATCATGAGTCTTAATGAAAATAACAATAACAGTTTCATTCTTATGACTTGTATGATTGAAAACAAAAGTTGCATATTCAATAATGAGAAATAAACATTTAATGGCATTTTAATGTTTTGTTGCTCAACACTGCAAAAATGCCATGAAATTTATGGAATTGAAAAATAAAGTTTGCATATTATAGTAAATTCTATTTAATACCACAATGATAATGAATTTTAATTAGAAATATAGATTGTATATTATTCTGAATATTGTTATTTAACACAACTATGACAAATAATGATTGGTGTGAATGCATCCATAGTTCTCCAAATCAAGAATGAAAGATTTATGTTACATGTTACTTGTGTATGTTGCTCTGTAGAGCTTTTGCAAATTGTTGTGTAATCATCTCTTGAATATTGCATTTTAATGTGAAATCAAGAAGCAAAAGCAGTTTTATTATATTTATGACTTTAGTAGAGAATTATAATGAGAATTGTTTCCACTAGAAATATTTATATCGGTAGTTACCATACCAAGACATATGTTAGATTACCACCATCCATGGCACAAGCATACTAGCCTACTTACCAGCGCTGTAAAAACACAGGATTTAAGATTAGCAACTGTACTATTAGTAACTGTTGTATTAGACAACCCCTATGTTTGCAGGTAATTTTCAAGATTTGAAGTTCGTCTTATATGTGGAAATATACAGTAATAAAATTAACAATAAATAATAAAATGATAGACAATAAAATAATAAATCAACAATAATAAATAATAAAATTATTATTATTAAAAGAATGTATTAATGCAAAATCAATTAACAATAACATTAAATATGTCAGAAAATATATCTTATTAATGCAACTGAAAGCAACATGCTTTCATGCAATTAATATTTAGAAATAAATTTAAAATTCATCAGTAAGTAGGTGATTTAAACTCAAGCTTCTTTGGAAGGAAAAAATAACAGTAAATTCCAGTTAACTTTTTTAAAAACAATTGAAAATAATAAAATTATGCGAAAATAAAAATATGAAAATGGAATTAGATTTGCAATTGATTTTGCAGTAATTTATCAGCGACATATGAAATTTACAAAAACGCAATCAGTACCAACCTTCTAAAATCCATTTTTGATCATATCCTGTAGAGAATGGACAAAATAAAATATATTAAAAACTGTTTAAAATATTAACATTTATTAAATAATATTAAAAATAGAATGAAAAATAACAATATCACTTGATGTATTTAATGCCAAATAAACCAACATCAATTCCACAACTGTCCTGGGTATGACAATAAACTATGTCCAACAGCAAGGCCTCTGATCAGGAGGCTTTGAGGAGCATGGAACCACCTCTTAATTGCTGGTGTTCCCAGATCCACCCTGACCTGGGGTGGTAGCACCTGTTAGAGTCCCAGCTATGGCAAATAGTTAACCCCAAAACTGAGGTAAAAAGCATTATAAAAGTGTAAAAATAGGTTTTAATACCAGAAATACTTTGTAAAAAATTATTACCAGCAATACATTTTTGAAGAAAAAACTATTGCCAGGAATACATTTTTGAAGAAAAAAACTATTACCTGCAATACATTTTTGAAAAAATAATATTACCAGCTATATATTTTGGAAAAAATAATATTACCAGCTATATATTTTTGAAAAAATAATATTACCAGCTATATATTTTTGAGGAAAAAAATATTATGAGAAATAGATATCTGACAAAACAAAAATATTACCATCAAAAAAAAAGTCAGCATTAAATGAACCATTGTGGTTGATATGCCATAAAACAAAACAAACCAAACCAATTCCACAAAAAAATGTCTAAATAATATCCACTGGTTTTTATATCTGAAGTGAAGGTGTCCAATAGGCTAATGTTTACCTAGATGCCAGAGATTAGAAGTATTTTTGTCTAATTCCACAATGTTCTAATAGGAAGTGAATAGGAAGAAGTTTTTATAGGCAAATTTATCTGCATGGCTAATATTTACTATAGATAATGAAGGGAAATAATATCATGTCATGTTTTGAATATCACCAGTTAAGAGGTGATAATATATTGTCATATCAGGTTGACCCAGGTGATGGGTGAGCTATGGAAGAAAGATTTATTCTCCCATTTTCATTTCTGCTATTATGGGCAATATTATATCCATGATATAATAACACTATTCCAAGGACAGAATGGAATGGCTGAAAGGAAAAAGGAATGACATATATATTTTGTTTTCAGAAAGAGTTTTATACTGCTAAGTCATACTCAAAATTATACATACATATATGCATTGGTTCTATGCAGAGAAAATATAACACATGTCTACACAACAAGCAGTGTGAAATGCAAATAAAAAGATAGGAGATTATATATAATACAAAGATTCTTCTGTGTTTCTGGTGAATCATCTGTGTTTTTGTAGAAGCCATATTTAGAATTCCAGTCCAGATTGCAACAGGACTGACTTATCTGCCCTGCAAGGACATATTCCACAGACAAGGAAAATATTTATATAAAAATCCTATTAGTAGTGTTGTTTTTTTTGGATAGAGTTGCCAGAAGTCAAAATCAGGAATCTATAATTGGACTTTGTCTATTGCTGATAAAAATGACAAAGGGAGTGGGTAAAAGAAAGGCTTAAGGTCCTATGTATTATTTTTCTTACAGCTCCTTTCTGAGGCAAGAATAGTAAAGTACCTCCACTTCATTCTTGTTCACTTTGTTTAAACCATGCACACACCTTATATATATATATATATATATATATATATATATATATATATATATATATATATATATATATATATATATATATAGGAGGAACAGTGGAGTAATGGATAGCGGCTTGGATTGAAGAATCATGAGGTGAGTTCGAATTCAGTCGAATCCATTACATTCACTTACGTGCTTATACCCTTGGGAAAGGTATGAATCCTCTTCTTCTCCCTTCAGCTATGGGTAAATATCAGGACAGGCTGGGTTCTATAGCCTTGGATGGCAACTGGTCTAGGAGAAGGACAACTCTGAATTCAAAACCTATGGAGAGTCGTTTAGGGACCTTGTGGCACTTAGTGCACCAGGTCTCTATAATCAACCCTTCAAAAAGTGTGGCTGGTCCTGCACAAAACCTTCACCACTATAATCAAATCTCATGTGCTGTTGTCAGGCTGTCGGTTTCCTGGCAACTGATCTGCTTGACCCTCATGCATCAAATTCAATGGGAAAGTCGACTATATATATATATATATATATATATATATATATATATATATATATATATAAATATATATATATATTGTCTTGGGAGTAGTGACAAAGATCCTAGTTTTATGGATAACTAATTAGTTTTCAAATTTTGATAGTGTTGATTATGATACTTGTGTTTTTGCTATTGATTTTAGTTCAAATGTATAAATCATACAAAATTTTATAAAGCAATGAATTTTATTTTCTAGATGTTATAACTTCTAAATTGTTACATAAACTGAAATGATATCAAAATGACAAACTCATATTTATTTGACTTTGCAGGAAGTAAAGCAAGAAAAATATTTTTTTTAGTTTGTGTCATTGTGTTTCAAGTAGATAAAATGTTTGATTTTAGTTCAGAATTCTTAAATCTTAGAAATTTTTATAAAGCAGTGATTTTAATTTTCTAAATGTTATAACTTCTAAATAGTTTCATAAACTGAAATGATATCAATATTCCAAACTTATATTTGTTTCAATTGTTTTATTGTTATAATGCTGGTTATAAGAATCTGTGTGTGTTTTTTTTACTACGATTGTGTTGAATATGTGCTAATTTGGTTTGCAATAAATAGTAAAATCATGGTATTTCTTAAAGAATATTCTTACTGACAAACAAAAGATAGCTATTCTAGTTTATTTAAAGAATTTTCAATAAGTTTACTTCAAGCTATGTAAATGTCACTAAAATATATCACAAGTAAAGAATATTCAAGATGGAGGCAGGTGAGTTAGAGGCTGGTTCCATTTGTGGGATTCCCCATAATCTTATTAGTCTAGGGGCCCCCAAAAGTCGTAATCTGGCTCTATCTGCTATCTTTTACCTCTGCAGGAGCAAGACAATGCTGTAAATGAAGCACATCTGCCACATATGGGCAGGAGTTGCCAATTCTTGACATTTTCGTCTCGATAGATTCCAAGTGTCTATATGGCCTCATTCATGATTAATTATTTTACATTCTACAGGCAAATCACCACAAGCCTCTCAATGTTCACTATTTCCATGTAAAGTGTTCAGACGAACTATATTTCTTAGATCCACCAGTTCTAACATTCACATCTAAAACCCACCATGCCATCCACATTGTAACAAACTACCTCATTCTCTTTGTGTTCCAATCAAACAGCTTCTTTCTATGAATTGCTATTTTGTGTAACTGACTTCCAAGAGAATGCTTCCTTGATCAATACAATCTAAACCTGTTCAAGTCTAGGCTTAACTTATTCTTCTCCACATATCCTTATAAACTGTGCTCCTTGGTCTGTCATCATCTACCTCGAGTAGCTCTTGGGCCTTTTACAGGGAGAGAATTATTGTAAAAAACGACTCAGAGATTAATGCCCTTTCTCTACATACTCTAAAATAGTTTATATGTCATATTTTTCTATAAACACTATTATAATAATATAATTCTTTTGTCATTTTGGGATTGGCTCAGTGTTTTCACTTAGGTGTTTATTTTAGATATTGAAGGAAATTGTTCAAAAGACTTGACTAAAGGAAAGAATCCTGCCTATGGGCTGACAAAAGAATAAGAAAGAAGTGAGAAAGAATATTTTGGCAATCTTCAAGGAAATTGAATGAACTCGCCCAAAAGGTACTTAAAGGAAAACAACTACAACTCAATACCAGTTATACAAGCAAAGTCATTGTTTGTACTAACATGGAAATAAAATGTTTAAACTATGGAATCTCATTGTTGGTCTACTTATTACCACTATGCCAATCATTATATCAAAATACAGGTGAATTATTAAAAGTTAATAAAAATAATTAAACATTTTTCCTTACCCCAATAAATCCTGTAGGCCAAGGTCCATGCATATTTCTCAAGGGCATCATAGTCCGGGACTCTTATAATAAACCATTTATAAGGGCGATTGGCAATAGCCCTCTCTCCTTTCATATAAACATTCCCAACAGCTACAATGAATACTTTCACACCTTCATTTTGAAGTAATTCAGCTTGTTTTGATGTCCGTGCAAGATTCTTAACTTTGCCATTAGTAAAGACAATGGCAATACTGGTAACACTTGGTCTGCCTCCAAAATGCATATTAAATGAGATTTCCCTTGCATATTCCAGAGCTCTGTTTGTAAACTGTTTACCATGAACATATGGGATTCTGTCAACAGCCCTCATTACTTTGCGGAGGTTTCGATAGCTGTTCAGATTGAATTCATCTCTTACCCAAGTGCTGTACGAAATTGCACCAACTCTCACGTGACTTGGGGCAATACGGAAATACCTGATTATGGCTTTTATAAATGATTTCACTTTATGGAAATTTCCCTTTTCAACATACGATGATGTATCGATGATAAATACAATATCCATCTGCACTTTATTATAACCTGTTAGTAAAAATTAAAAATGTTTTTAAAAGGATTTTAATTTTTATAATAGTGATACAAACATCATGTTAAAAACAAGGAGAAGAAAAAAAAATGACAAAAAAGGAGTTACAAAAAAAAACAATTCTATTACAGTAAATTGGAGCTCAACCGAGGATAAGACATGCACACAGTGACTAAACTAAGTACCTAACACCAAATATTATATAATAAATGTAAAATATTTATGCCTAACAGGCAAGACTGATGTATACAGAGAGATAGCTGGTAGGACTTAATATAAATAGTTTTCAACACTGTCAAAAGAAATTCTGAGTTAGTGTTCATAAGTACCAAGAACACGTTTTAGTTTTGAATCTGGGACATTACTGTGTTTTTCAATAAATGTTTAGCTATCACTGAACCAGTTATATTCATGCACCTATGTAAATTACCCAAGTTACCATTACAAATATTGGTTGGTATTTGCTGACTGATTTTTGCTTTTAACCTTTTATTCATTCTGCCCATATAGTCAGCATCATGCTCATAGTGGAATTGGTAAACTAATGAACTGATATGAAGAGCAGATAGAACATCCTTTCAGACTAGCATCAGCATTGGTTTAGCAATAGGGATCAATTTGCAGACAGATAACAGTTATTCTCATACTCAAAAATCTACCTTGCAAACCTTGTACACACAACAATCCACACTATATGTAAATAAATGTGATATTTTGAGATCAAATCAGCTAAGGCTTAGCAAATTAATGTAAAGTGGTAATAACAAACATGGTAATTGTCCTGATGAACTTTCCTCTATGGTACTTACACTTTATGAATTTAAGCGCAGTACTAAATTGGCAGCAAGGTCTCATCATTTTGCACTTGAAATGGATAGACGTAACCATAAGTTCTATGCTAATAATTTATTCTATCACACTTCTCAATCATGGAACTCTCTTCTGGCTTCTTTCTTCCTTGTCAACTTTGATTTTCAAACATTTAAATGCAATGTCAAGCAATATCTTCCATTTTCGTAATTCTTGTTTTTTTATTGCTCCTTCTCCTTAATAGTTTTTTTTTCATACTCTCTAACACTCATTTTGTGTGTTAGGGACTTTATTGCCTTGCTTGGGATGAAATGATTAAAAAGAACTGAGGATGAGAACTGCAAATGGATTTCAGAATTAAACTTTCTCAGTACTAAGAACATGGCTCAGTTGTAAGACCAGTCAATTTCCTGATTTTTTAACAAATGTTTAGCTATTGCCTAACCAGTTGTATTCACACACCTATGCAAATTATCCACCTTATCCCGACAAATATTGGCTGTTAGATACTGAGTAATTCTTGCTTCCAACCACTGCCCTTCCTAAGATGTAGATCCCTGAAAGTTGTTAACAATCAAGACATCAGAAGCCCTGAAGAACAATGCCAGCATTCCACAGGGTTCTCTCCTCGGTCGTACCCTCTTTCAACTGTATATTAATGATCTGCCTAAGATTAAACTTGGATCCTTAATGAGTATCTGTGCAACAGTTTATATGTGCACCTCCAAAGATCTGGAAAATCAAAACCTAACAGCTCATCTCTCCTCTTCCTAGATGGCTCAATGGGGAAAGGATCGACTTGTAAAATTCAATAGAGCCCAAACTAGTAAAGTTCCACTACCACCGAGCAGACCCCAAACATTCACCAATCATGATGGAGGATGTTCTCTTGAAGAGGCTCTTTGAATGTCTTTTGGGACTCAAGCTCTCTCCTGACTGAAAGTGGAAGTCATATACCTGATCTATTGCTAAAGATGCTGGAAAATGATCAGTTCATTTTAGTGCCCCATTAACCCTAGAATACTAACCATGGGTATATAGTACCCAGCACAAATCTTCCTATTTTTACTTACAATTTTCAGTACCTGATTTTCTTACCTAAATAATATGTTTTTTTAGTTCCTATTAATGTTAACTCAAAGTAAAGAGTTTGAAGTGCCTGCATATAAAATATTTCAAATAAAGATATTTAATTTTTTTTTTTCATATTTTTAAAATTGGGTATGATATACCCATGATTAGTAGTGATGTAATTTTAATTGATGGTTAGTGTTTTAGGGTTAAGTAGTTGACTCCCACTGCTATACTCTATCTTTACAAGAGCCAGATTAGACCAAAAAAATGAAGTATTGTTGTCATATTGGGCTGGAGCTTTCCAGTTCTCACTTGCCTGTTTTGATAAAGTTCAAAAGAATCTATGCCTTTTGAGTGGGGGATTATTTTCCACTGTACAATCCCTTTCCAACAGATGAAGTATTCTAAACCTGTCACTACTTCAGAGTCTGTCTATATTTCTGAGATGAGGTATTATGCATATTATTTACATTATTTGGACTATTGTCTTTGTCACCATATTTATCACAACGTTTTGGCCGTTGGAATTTCAAACTGAACCCTTTATTTCGCTCACTGGGGTAGACTGTTCTAGTTCCATGTGCCATGTTTGATGGATGTCAGTTATTAGTTATCTCCTGCTAATTTCCCTCTGAAAGTTCTCCACTGCCTTAACCTTAATCCTTAACTGGCTATTGAACTCACACTCTTTGGGTCCTGTCACTGGATCTAACCAACACCTTTATCCACTGTGCCATGTGTTCTTGAGGACATCTGGATATGAATTTCTGGGTCTTATAAACCTAATGTCTTCAGCAACCATTTTTACCAATGCTCATATTTCTATTTTTGCTGTTATCATTCCATGTTTTTACCAGAGCTCATATTGCAACTTTTGTTGTTATCATTGCTTTTCTCTGGCACTCCTTATTACTGGTTCCCATATTGTATTTATTTCTATACTTGGTTGGCTCAGGAGAGCTGATTCCTTAAGTTTACGAATTTTCCAATGGTGTTCCTTGTCTATGATCTCAACATGATCCCACAGAGGGCAGTGATCTCCCTTCTCTCTCCGTATGTGGTCAGCCACACCTGATTTTTCTACCTCCCCTCATGTTACAGTTTTCTGGTGTTCTTGAAGCCTTACCTTGAGGGGGCAGCCTGTCTCTCCTTTATATTCCTTTCCACAGCTGCATGGGATAGCGTACACACAGTCTTTAGTCATGTTCTCCTCTATGGCGGGTCTCACTCGGGAGAGATATCTGCGAAGTGTCGTCAAGCTTTTGAAGGTTGTCCTGATGTTATATGGACCGCAGATCCTTTGTATTTTCTCTGATAAACCCTTCACATAAGGCACGCAGATTGTTTTCTGAGTGTTGTTGTCCTCCTCCTCTTGCACCCAGTTTTTGGGACAGACGGGTACAAGCTGTCACTGCTTTATCGCTACTTCCATGGCATGTTTCTGAAGCACTACATTTCTTAGTCCGACAGACCTGACCTTTACAATTGGGAGCTGCTATGCCATGTACATCATCCAGATTCCCTTCATATTCATATCATAAAAATTAAGTTACATTCAGACAGTTTCTTCCTAAGAACTGCTGCTTTGTGGAACAGAATCCCAGGAAGGATGTTTTCCTAATCACTACACTCTTTATGTTTTCAAGTCTAGGGTTAATAATTATCTTCACTTCTTGCCTTTTCTTATGCACATATAACACCACACAGTAATAATCTACTTTGAGTGACTCTTGGGCTTTTTATTTGGTGAACATTAATATAAAAAAAAAAATACTGAGTCAATTACACTTAAATCGGTAAATTACCAAATTGATATGATGACAAGGTAGAACTTTCTTTTCAGATTATTCTTAGGATTGCTCTGTCAATAAATTTTGTTGATGGATTGGCAAATGACAAGTAACAGTTTTTCACACTCAGGGAAATCTGCTGGAACATTTTGGGTGTTTTTGTGTTTTTCTCTTGTCTTACATATTTCCTGTCCTCAGTCAAGCTTAGTACAATATCCTACTGCTTTTGTTGAAAGTGTGGAACATTTTTCAATGAATATTTAATGACTTATGGAACATTTGTTCCACAAACAATATTTTGTGAACTCAAGTGAGTCCGAATAAAAACGAAACACAGAACATGGAATTGAAAACAAACAACAAATAATGCATGCATTAGCAAAAAAATTTGCATGTATCCACAATTGAAAGTAAAGGAAAATATATAAAAATCTATACTATTAAGAATGTGCTTGTGTGTATGTATGTGTGAATAAGAGTTCAATCGTAATTGAACCAAGAAAATGAACATGCCCCATAGGGAGGACACCTTACCAACATGCGACAGAGCAACAAAAGAGAAGGGGATGTTTGCTTTTTTATAGACATAAATAGCACCACCTAATGGGTGTTTTGAGTGAGCAAAGTAGGGTACCTACAAGCTCCAGTGAGAAATGACTCATGAATTTGTTAAGCAGCTCTTTTTGCTAATTGTTTTGTATTTTATATTACAAAGTCATGTAATTTTTCATATATTTTTCTTTTTATCCCCATTATTAAATTTTGTACCCCTGCTAAAAATTTCAATTTATTTCTGTATTTTTTTTTTTTTTTTTTTTTGTACAAAACACTGATTTACTCAAGCTAATATCCTCATCTTGGTTTTATAACATTTCAGCTGTTGAACAATGAGGCCTTCTTCAGGTGTTTAACATAGTTGACAACCTTTTGGAAATTTTATTGGTTATCAACCAATGGCGTAAGTAGAAACAAAAAAAAAATCCATTTGCTATCACTAAGTTCACCTGCAAATCTGTTGTAAACAGTCCAGGAGGCATCATAATAATGAAAAACAGGGTCAATTCCAACTTTCACTTCACAACAACAGAAACGCACATTTGCTCACAAAGCTCAAAAATCATTTGCTCACAAAGCTCATCAATCAGTAAGCAAAAGACAACAGCCTTTATTCACCGAGCAATTTTTCTGATTGGCTTCACCATTCAGGGAAGAAAGAACATTAGCATAGTTTCTCTGATACTTAAAGTAGCAGGTTTTTGCTAACTATTTTCTTTAATACTCCTTCAGCAGACCACACACAAAACACAAACTATTTTTCGAGGTAAGTGATTTCCTCTTTCATTACAGAAATTTCAAACTAACTATCATTTAATCCACAGTGTAATTTAGACTTATTTTTCTGTTTGTATGAGAGAAAATCTCATATCAATTCTTTCTTGCTAATTCCTCTTTTAATGCTTTTGACATTTTCACTGAACAGACAGATAGAACATCTTTAAGCTACCTGATGCAGGGATTGAACTCATTCTGTTGACCATGATAAAAAAAAATGTAATATTAATGAATTCTTATGAGTTGATTCATCCTTGTCATGTTGCTTGTCATATCCACTGGAGCAGACTATATTTGACTTTTTAAATAACTACCTAAAATTGGGATTGAATTCTTTTTACCATTCCTCCAAAAGGAATCATTGCATCAGTTAACTCTTCTTATTAAATATATTATGGCCAACTTTCTTGACTCATTCAAAATATACATGACTTTTTAAACATTTTTCCTGACCATAGGATTAAACTGTTTTTGCTGTTCATGCTAGAGAAAATTTCATAGCAATTATTTTTTGTGCTGTTTCTTCCACTGAATGCAGGTTTTTACACTGTTCATTGTAGCAAAATCTTTATATCTTAAGCTTAATTTTTTTTTTTAAGCAAATTGCCCCAAGCATGGTGGGAGTGCCACTAGCATGCAATGGGTTACAGAGAGTGAGAGTAAGGGTAAAGAGGAGTGTTTGGGAAAAGGATAAAGAGAAGGACACAGATTAAGGTCAAGGCATCAGAAGATGTCGATTGACATTACATTTGAATATTTGAAGATTACAGCTATCAGGGAGCAAGTGATAGGAAGGAAGTTCCACTGATGCCCCAAGCAAGGTGTGAGTGTCACTAGCACACAAGGTGTTACAGAGAGTAAGAGTAAAAAGGATAAAGAGAAGGACAGGAGTTAAGGTCAAGGCATCAGAAGATGTTGATTGATATTACATTTGAATATTTGAAGATTATAGCTATCAGGGAAGCAAGTAAGAGAAAGGGTGTTCCACTGATGGGAGGTGTGAGATAAGAAGCTGTTTGAGTAGAAGAGATGGCTACATTTAATCGTTTTGACAATGAAAGGATGGGACCGAGATGCGAACCTAGTAGCACACTTAAATACATGTAGTTTGAGAACAGTGAAAGTAGCTCATTGGGGCAGTTGCCATGAAAGTACTTGTAGAAAAGACATAGGGAATCCACAGCATATCTGTGAGATAACAACTGTAGACAGGATGCCATATCAGGACCAAACATATTGAAGACCCATCTCTGGATTTTATCGAGGACCTTGATATGAATTACAGCATTTGAATCATTGTGTTTATAACATCCACAATGAGTACATTTGGCCAAAATAAGATCATTCTATCATGATTGAAATATTTGACCAAGATGAACACATTCAGCCATGACTGAGTAGATTTAATCATGGTGGAGAGATTTAGCCAAGATGCAGACATTCAAACAAGATGAGGGCATTTAGCCAAAACAACGACATTAAAATCAAGCTCTAGACATTTGACCAAGATGCATACATTCGATCAGGATAGGAACATTTGGCCAAGATAATGACATCTGAACACGAGGATGGCATTTGATCAAAATGAGGATATTCACCCTCAGAGGAGAACATTTGTTTAAAAGTAGGATATCCGATCAAAGTAGACATTCAACCAAGATGAATACATTTGATTTGGATGGGGGCATTTGGCCAAAATAATATTTGACCATGGGGATGATGTTTAATCAAGATGAGGACATTTGAGCAAAACAATGACACTTGTAGAAGAAACTTTTAATGTATTTTACGCAGGAGCCATTAATCAATTCACAAGAATATAAAATTACAACAAATTTTCTCTTGAAAAGTAAATAACTTCAATATTTGAATATTGAAATACTATGTGTATTACAATACTAAAATCTAATAAAATTCACTTATTTTTTCTTACCATACATAGGTATTGTAGATTTTAGAAGAACATGAATGTACTGACCAATAGAAGAATGAATATTAGTTTGTAAAATTACTAACAGAAGAAAATCAAGAAATACCTCAGCCAACAAGCATACACATAGATAGATAGATAGATAGATAGATAGATAGAGATAGATAGATAGATAGATAGATAGATAGGAACAGACAAAGGTAAATAGATAGATAGGTAGGAACAGAATAAGATTTATAGATAAATAGGAACAGACCAAGATAGATAGACAGGTAAAAACAGACTAAGATAGACAAGATAGACAGACAGATAGTAACAGACCGAGACAGATAGACAGATAGTAACAGACCGAGATAGATAGACAGATAGATAGAAACAGACTGAGATAGATAGATAGATAGATAGATAGATAGATAGATAGATAGATAGATTGATAGATAGATAGAAGTGAATGAACTGATTGACAGATGAATGGGAAAAATCAATAAAATTATATAAAAATGTTTCTTGCTACACATATACCTAATTATGAGGGTGTACTGAGGTTTTCACATTGAAATACAGATCTTGAAAATTGGGTCAGTGTGTGAACTTTTCAGCATTGCCTCATATGTATTAAAACAGCTAAATTATCATACACTTTTGTCAAATGAGTCAAAGGATACAAATAAAAAAAATGTAAACGTCTACCCACCTTCTAATTTCCATTCTTTCTTAACTACAAAAGAAAAATATTAATAGCAATTTATACTGTGAACAAATTTTTATGTAACCAAAAATAGATACATTTTTATAATACTTTTCAAAAACTTTTAACATTATTTCACTTATATTGATCAACGGATTTTTTTATGGTTTATCAACCTTTTGCAGGTTATTTAAGGCAAAACATTTTTTATTGTAAGAATAATTACTTTTTTTTGCATTAACAATTGTTTGGAGATAAAAATGATTCCCAGATACAAGTTCTACTATTTAACCTATAGCTGGGAGATAAAGAGGTGAATTCATATTTTTCCAAGAGTATTTGTACATAAGTGAATGTAACAAACCTGACTGAAATTCAAACTCTGCTCTCCACTCTCTCATTCCAACCAAATTATCTATTACGCCAGTCACACTCCCAAGCTTACAGTACCTAGTATTCCCAAGTGGTTACTCATCTAAATACTGACCTAACTCAACATTGCTTAACTTTGGTGATCATACAAAAGGATGTCTGCCTAATCAAAATAATTATGCTGATGCTAGCCCCAATTGCACCTTCTTGAGCTAACGTTTCCTGCAGGCATGAAGTGGAAAGATTATATTGAATTAATTGCTAGGTCTGCTGCTAGGAAAACTTGTCCACTAATGTTTCTTGCCAGAATCTATTTTACACATTTATAAGTCTACCATTCATCTATGCATTGAGTATTGCTGCCACTATAGATTCACCTATCATCCAGTTCACACTCTTCCCTGATTTTTTGAACAGGAGTAGTGGTTTATCCCTTGTTTCCTGTTGAGGATTGGGTTCCCAGTTTATGCTAACTTCTACTTCTAACATCTCCACTTAACTTTGAAAGTTATATTTCTTCTTTCCACAATACGAATAGATATTTCACCTATCATCCAGTTCACACTCCTCCTCTTTGTTTTGAACAGGAATATAGGTTTATCCCTTGTTTCCTGTTTAGGATTGGGTTTCCAGTTCCTTCTAACTTCTACCATAACTCTATACTTCTAACATCTTCACCTAAATTTTGAAATTAATACTATTTTTTATCTTCTTTTTCCCACAGTAGTAGATAGTTTCACTTATCATCCAGTTCACACTCCTCCTCTTTTATTTTGAACAGGTTGTTTCCTGTTTAGGATTGGGTTTATGGCTCCTGCTACATTCTTTTTCTTCTTTTTCACTTGCCTCTTGCATCTTAGTGGTGTTATCACCTTGTTTAGAATGATTAGAAAAATAGAAAAGCTCTGGTGCTTCTGCTATTTATTTAGATTTTCTTGTTAAAGAGGAATCTGCAATATTATTGATCTTGACCTGGCATCTTCAGTCTCTTCTTCAGCATGTAGCTTCAATGTGCTTTTTCTATTAAAATAAACTGAAGTGCCTAAAAATTTCAGACAATGGCCTAAAAATTTAATTCTGAAGTCAAAATTATTTGGTGTGTTGCTAGCTTCTCCACCCTGTAAAAACCTACTTGCTACTGCAACTATAACCATAACACCTAGTATAGGGATACTATGGCTCCATAGAGCCTACAAGGGAGTCTACATAGATAATAATAATAATAATAATAATTTATAGTGGGGCAGGAAGAGTTGGATTCATATCTTTCCCAAGAGTATTTGCATGTAAGTGAATATAACAAACTCATATAAAATTCTGCCTACACTCTTATCGAAATTAATTGAAACAACTGCTTTAGTTTTCTTTTGTTCCCCATTCAGTCAGTTTTAGACACTGAAGTGACAGGGTATAATCAATTTCTATTTTTCCTCAGATTAGCTAATTTGCAGTGGTATGAAACAATTTTTAGGGTGTATGATGAAATTTGCTTGGCCTTGAAAAATATTGTGTCATCCGTGATTGCATCAGATTTTTATCACACTCAGATACTATTGTCTTGACTGTCGATTAGTTGTCCTACAGCTATTGTCTGTAATTGATGTTACTCCAAGGAAGCATACGAAAATTGTAACACTTCATGAACACACTGGCAAGCCTTAGCAGTGAGCAAATCAAATTACTATAGACTAACCCAGAAACTCTTCTGATTTAAATCCAATCGAGAAAACGTGGTCATTCTGCAAGGAATGACTTTGTGGAATGGACATACAAAGTACTAACATGTGCATTGGGTCGTGTTTCATTGGAAAAATACAGAAAAAAATTTAAATAATAATGCAATTATTTGTTTTGAATTTGCACAAGAGTGTAGAAGCAGAGTGACAGAATCCTTCACATTATCACAAGCAGAAGATCAAGTTTCAGAGCTAATTTTCATCTGACAGAGCCCAAAAGTGAATAAACATATAAAAAATGTTTGTCTCTTATTCTTATCAGACGTTACTAACATAATGTCACATCTCCAACAGGTTTTGGAAATACTCAATGGGGTTTAAATCTGGTGAGACTGGGGCCAGTGGAGTAACAGGAAGTCTGCCACTAGGAAACATGGCAAGTATAAAGGAGAGAAAATAGTCTGTAGCAAGATCTGTCGCATTTCTCAAAACATTTCCACAAAGTTCAATCATCCTCATTCCCTCCATATTCCAAACATAAAAAGAATGTTCCATTCAGACAGCGTTTTCCCAAGAACTGTCCCCACCCCTTGTGTTGAGCAGATTCCTTCATGGTTGTTCCCCTGAATACTTCAATCTTAACCTTCTGAAATCAAAACTCAATTGTCATCTTTCTTTCATTATACTTATAATCTTTATCTTCCTACTATTTTTTCTTCCATTCTTATCACACACCTCAATTAGCATTACAATTTTGATTATGGCTCTCTACCTTGAGGGGCTCTGTAGCCTTATATTGTGTAAAAAAACGTTTTGGCAAACATATACTTTTGTGCCCACAATAATATGGAATGTCAAAAGAACGTTTTTTTTCCCCGTGACACCAGTTTTTTTTTAACCGCATTCACTCTTCAGCAATGTTTATTGTTCTAAAAAGTGATGATCAAAATTGTAATAAAACCAAAACATATGAAAGTGAATTTATACATTTTCTTTGTTCTTGAAAATTGGCAACAAATATAATAAACACTATTTATTTATTAGATTGTTTATTTACGTTATTTATTGATTATATTGTTTGGCAAATCATCAGCTAATTGCCAATTGATTTGAATTTCATTCTTTCTTTCTTTTTATGTGCTATGTCCTTTCAGGACGTAGACAATCATGGCTCTCCACCTCCCTCTATCCCTTGCAGCAATTTCCTTCCCTCTGCTTCCTCCCCCAGACCACTTTCTGTCATTCACTTGCTTAAGCCTACCAGGTATGTCACTTACTGTTTTCCCTTATCTCTCTTTCCCTCTATTTGACCCATGAGTATCAGATTCTCCAGGCCCTCCTCCTCATTAAGCATCCCAAAAACTTCAGCTGCCTCTTCCTGATGTTAAGTATAAGCCTTCTCCTTGTTTACAACCTCTCTAAGAACTTCTCGTTGCTCACAAGCTCAGTCCATGATATCTTTAGCATCCTTCTGTAGAACCACATCTCTGTGGCCTCGAATCTCTTCTACATCTTTCAGGAAATTGTCCAACATTCACTGCCCTAAAGAAGGACAGATGTCACATAACAGCTCAGTATTCTTTTCTTTGTTACCAAAGAAATCCTCCTGTCTCACAATACTCTGCCCAGCTTTTGGAATGTGTCCTTGGCCATCCCAACACGTCTACAGATCTCAATGTCACACTTACCGTCCTCTATCAAAACACTTCCCAGACATTTAAACTTCCACATCTGCTTAATTCTAATGTTCCCAACCTGCAAATTGCATTTTGGGCTCATCCTTTTACTGATGACCATGCATTCTGTCTTCTTGTAGTTTATGCTTAGTCCCTTCTTCTCACTCTCTGTCACTACCTTCTGTAGGAGATTTTGTAATTTTTTTTTCCATAAAATGGTAAATAATAAAGATTTCCTTATAGTTACTTAACATATTTTAATAATTTAGTAAATGTTTATAAATTTATGAATAAAAATGTTTTATTTATTTATAAATTAGTAAATGATAAATATTGAATTGCATTAGTTTTAATTATATTAGTTTTTAGAATGTTGTAAATATAAAATTATTCTTGGAAATAAACAATCTAATAAATAAATAGTGTCTAATATTTTTTTGTTATATTTTTAAATTCTTTAAAACAAAGAAAATGTCATTTTCATGATATGTTTAGGTTTTGTTACAATTCTAATCATCACTTTTTAAAACAAACATTGCTGCAGAGTGAAGGTAGTTAATATAAAATTGATATGATGGAAAAAAACATCCTTTTAGCACTCCGAGTTTTTAGTGAGTACAAAGGTCCATGTTTACCAAAGTGTTCATATGCTATTTATATGTATATTCTACCTAGAGACAACTTCCTACAGCAAGATTTATTCTGCAGTAAAAGTTTGTTAAATCCTGTCCATGCTCCATATCTGCCATAGCCACACTGCCACAGATACACTACTACAGCTATGATATTTCTTTACCTGTTATGTCAGTATATGTCACCTGGTTGAGTTTATTTCTAATGGTGGTTAATGAAATGAAAAGGTTTTCTTAGCCTAAGGAACTGAATATAAGATGCAGAGTTTATATCTACATGTCATGGAATGAGATTGTAAAATCTTATTGGATTGATTATATTGTTTTATATCTTGAATCTTAGACATGTCTTATTTTTGTCCCTGTGATAATATTTATTCTTCATTCCATTCAAAGCTGGGTGTATTTGTTACCTGAACTTGTAAATGACACTAACACTTGATTGACCAGTATCTACTCCACAAAGATATTCAGGTAATGTAACAGTGGCTAGGAAAGCAAAAATGGTACACTGAGTACGAATTTCAACTGCTCATTACATTCACTTTCAAACAATCCTTGGAGAAAGGCATGAATCCATTTCCTTTTACTCACAGCTATGGCTTAAATAGTAGGGTTGAGTGGGCTCTCTTGCTTTGAAGTAGCAATGAGTATAGGAAAAAGAAAATTCTGAATTAAAACAACCTGAAGAATGATTCACCACTGCTGCTATAGATGTTGTAGGTATGGAACCTATAGGATTCTAATTGGTTAAGAGATTCATGGTGTGGTGATATCGACTTCAAAGAAATACATTAGTAGTGTATTTCTGGAACCTTTAAATTATAGGGTTTCTGAAATTGCTTATCATGGAATAATTTGTAATAATTTTCTTTTTAGATTTTTGAGAAACCATTTTGAGTTTTGATCGCTTGAGGACGATCAACAGCAGCAACAACTGGCAAATGTAACTCAAAGAGAAAATAAAAATGTAATCAAGATGTTAACATTCCACACCACATCAAACAAAAGGTTAGAAAGGAAACCTCCGTCAATACTGGAAAGAGCAATAACAGCTACTGGACTTGAGAAACCTATTTTCCTAAAAAGAGAAAGATTTTATAAATTTCAACCATGAACAGTATTGGCTGCTCAGTTAATGCAAGCCAAATGATTCCTTGTAGTGAAACAATTAATATTACCATTGCCACATGGTTAATATTACCATTTCCACATGGTTAATATTACCATTACCATATGGTAAATATTACCGTTACCACATGATTAGCATTACCATATGGTTAATATTACCATTACCATCAATCATTCTGGGTTGATAGCTTCTAGCTACATTAAAAGTCTATTAGAGTAAACTATACTGACTTCAGAAAAGGTTAGATCTGATATCTAACAAAGGACTCACTGCTAGACAGAACCTTCAGACTTGACTACATTTTTTTTTATGAATACCCTGTATAACAAATTTATAGAAATGAAGATCAAAATATATTGCTCATAATAGGTGGTGATTATCTAGTCAGAGGCATATTATTGAATAATTATGTGTCCATTATTTATGTGATATGGTTCTAAAAATAAGGATGCTGGAAAATTGGTAGAATGCCTATCTTTAATATTTTATACTACTTCATAATATTTAATATTACTTAATATCATTTATATTCATTTTTTATATTATTCTATAATCAGTTTTGACTCGTTTTTTTTCTTTTTTCTTGTTTGCTCTTTTTTATTACAACAGCATCTTATACTTTAGTTGTCAAATTCAATTGCCATTAGTAATTTTTTTGCTAACTCAGTGTAATCAAAAAAATTCTTAATCCTTATTCTAGTTGCATTTAGGAATAAAATAATAATGGAATAATACATACCAATATAGGTGTCTTCTTGTTCATACTCTGCATTTAAAGATAAAACATATATATATATATATAACGATGTAGAAATTATATAAGAATTAAAAACATTTCATACTTCCACATATATTAAATGCAATATATATCAATACAAATATATATTTTTGTGTGTAATACTTTTTTACATTACCAGAAGAGTCAATTTACATTTTTTTTTTAAGCATTTCACCCCAAGCAAGGCGGGAAGCTATTAGCATGCAAGGGGTTACTGAGAGTTGGAGCAAGAACAAATAGGAGTGATAGAGGAAAGGATGAAGAGAAGGATAGGGGATAGATCAAGGCATTTGGAGAATTAGATTGACATTACATTTGAATAATTGGAGATTATAGCTATCAGGGAAACAGGAAAAGGGGAGAGAGTTCCACAGGCAAGAAGTGCAAGACATGAAGCTATTGGAGTAGAAGAGATGGCTACATTTAACAGTTTTGTCAGTGAAAGGGTGAGAGCAAGATGCCAGCCTAAAACACTTAAATTCATGAAGTCTGGGAACCAGTGAAAGCAGCTCATCAGAGCAGTTACTGTGAAAGTATTTGTAAAAAAGAGAGAGGGAGGTGACAGCATGTCTGTGAGAGAGCGACTGCAGATGGGATGCCAGATCAGGCCAATTACATTGCATATCCATCTCTATTAGACTCTCCTGGGAGTATAAAATAAATAGAAAATTTTGCTATTTTGACATTAACAAATAAAACACAATAATTTATTTGTCTCAAAATATCTATATGCTCCAACATTTTTAGCTCACAAATATTGCATACGAATTACATAATTGCATTGTATTAATAAAATATGAAAAAACTCATTATTAGATAATATCAATACATTTTAATAATTAAGTAAACATTAATTATTACTTTGTGAAAAAGTAATGAATGGATACAGGGTGATTGAAAAGTAACTCCTCATTTTAAAATACTGATGATTTATATATTAACTCTAATTTGTTACAGAATGGATATGAGTGAAAAGCATTTAGCATGAGGTTTTATTTAAAATCTGATATGGGCACCAGATTTCACTACCAGCTGAACAAACTACCCAGGAATTGCATCAACCGATTTCACTAGGAATTCTTATGGTATGGAAAACATAACTTCTTGTATTTTCCCTTCAAGTTCTTTCAAATTCTTGGTTTGGTATAGTAGAATTGTTCCTTTAAAGCAAATCCAAAGAAAAAAGTCACATCCCTGCTAGTCATTCATACATAAAATAGGGAGTTATTTTCAATCACCCTGTATATTGAAAGTTCGAAGATTAATTTTTTAAGAGATAAAATGCATGATGGGTAATTTGAAAAGGATTTTTAAAAATTCAGTTTTAATTGTTTTGGCAGTTGTTTTATTTATTTTTAAATTTCATTAAAAAAAACATTTGTGATTAGAACAGGATTAATTTAAATTTATATTTAAAAAAAACGATCTCATTTTTACCATATTTTCTTGAGTATCATATGAAACTGTGTTTCTGAAGCTAAAACCAGGGTATAAATTACATTCTTGAGTATAATATGACCCCAGGCTTCCCTCTGTCTTTTCTATGAATATTTTCATGGTAATTGTTCTAATTGGCTCCTCTCTTTGGTGCCTCAACTATGTAAATTTAAGTGTACTACTAAACTGGTTACTAGGTTTCATTGTTTTATTGTTGAAATAACCAGATGTAACTGTAAGTTCTATTTTGTTATTTTCTTTTCTCAAACTTCTCACCTGTGGAACTCACTTCTGCTTTCTTGCTTCTCTGACACCTACAATCTTTAAAAATTTAAATGCAACATCAATTGCCATCTTTGTCTCTTCTTGAAATCTATTCTTTTATTGTCCTATCTTCTCACTAAAGTCTTCTCAGTCTCTTCCACTCCCATTAACCCTTGCGTCTTAGTAGCATTATCATCTTGCTTGGGGTGAAATGATTAAAAAAAAAGAAGTATTATTGTCCCTTTTTTTTTTCATTTTCCTTAAAATTAATATAAAACTGATATAAAACCTGTATGAAAAAAAAGCAGAAGGTAAAATGGAAGTAGCTGGGTCACATTCCTAGATACGATATAAATATGGCCACAAGCAACAAATATTTTTGTATTTTTTGTAGGTTTGAGAAGGCTCATTAATATTCAAATAGTTCTTCAGATAAAATAACATTGTTATCTTTGGATATAAATCAGGTAAGAGAAGACCAAGAACTGCAAAAAACATTTGCTGAATTTTTATTAGTTGCCAGTAGTGTCAACCTCTCAAATATTAACCCTAATTTAAAACTAACCTTGACCTGATCATAAAACTAAATTATATATATATATATATATATATATATATATATATATTTTGTTTTTAATGGTCAAGTTCACTTTTATTTGTTCTTTAATACAGTAATACAGTAGTAACAACTAGGAAATAAGTCATCATTATTTGTTACTTCCGTTTTTACTACATCAGAAAGTCAGTTTACGAACCAGTAACAAACTTTTATCAAAAAATTTTAGTATACTTTTGAGTATTTACTGTTGTTGTGTCGGAAACCTACCACCCCTCTTGAAGATGAACTTGTCTGCGTCTGTGAACAAAGACTTTAGATAGTGGCATGTCAGTTGACATGGGGAAGACAGATAGACAGAGAAGTTCTTAGCTGAGCTAGTTATTGACTACTCAGGCGAGTTCTGTACCTTTTTACCAACCTATTAAAACCCTTTTTATTGCTACATGTTATTTGGCTATGTCTCTACTAACCCCAAATCAACATCATAACAACTGTACAGGTAGGCAGTGGAATTTTTTTCCATGTGAAATTAGGCGATGACACAAAAATTGCTGGGAGCCACTGATCTATAGTATTTTCAGTATTCTTCCATTGCACTACATTTTTGTAGCCTCAAATCTTCCTATGTGAATCATTCAATAATATCTATAAATAAGAAATATTAAACTGTCACTGTTAGTATACTATATTATATATTTTCTGGTGCTTCAAAAGAATTTAATGTTCTATCAATTTATTGGTAGTGATTCCCTGTTATGATAGACACCAGTAAGAACAGATTTATAAAATACAAAAATTACAAACCTATATATTCCAGTGCACTTTGATAACCTATAAGCAAAGATTAAAAAAGAAAGAAAATTTCAGTTTAAATATATAAAATATAACAAAAAATTTACATATTTCTTTTATCTATAAGTAAACCTTTCAGCATTGAAAATAATTGGACAACAAAACATTTCAACATTTATGATTAAGTTTTTCATTTAAACAAGAAAATATCCAATGCATTAAACTTTACAAAAGAAAAATTCTTTTTAAAAAAATATTCACATGAGATTTTCATCACAGCAATAAAGAAAATTCAATTAATATAGAATCGGTTATGTAGTTGCAAAAAGCCAATCATCATGCATTAATAAAAGCCTACTCTTAGGTCTCTAATTCAAGGGTGGACCTTAATAATTGGACGGGATGGAATTTTCTTAATATGCAAGAAATAGGATGGGGTCTTAACAGTGCGGTTGGAAAATCAATTAAAGAGTAAAAAGGGAAAATTTAATAGACGGAGAAGATTTAATATTGGGGAGAGTAAAAAAAAAATCAAATAAATTAATATATCTTCCCATTTATTAGCTACTTAAAAGTATTATAATACAGTCATATAAGTTATAATTATAGCTAGAAAGGCATGAGGATTTATCATTCATGCAGTCATAAGGACTTATTCATACAGGCATATGGGCATGATACAGGCATAAGGACTCCTCATACAGGTATAAGGACTCATCATACAGATATAAGGACTCATCATATAGTCATATGGACTCATCATACAGTCATAAGGACTCATCATACAGGTATAAGGACTCATTCTACAGGCATAAGGACTCATTCTACAGCCATAAGGACTCATTCTACAGGCATAAGGACTCATCATACAGGCATAAGGACTCATCATACAGGCATAAGGACTCATCATACAGGCATAAGGACTCATCATACAGGTATAAGGACTCATCATACATACAGTCATAAAGACTTATAAAATCATAAAAGACTTATCATTCATACAGTTATAAGTACTTTACATGCAGATATAAAAACATAAGGAATTATACAGTCATAAAGACTTATGATACAGTCATAAATCTCTTGCATCATAGCTATAAAGACCTATCATCATACTGTCATAAAACTCTCATACATTGTTTTAGTAATAAAGGACTCATCACTCAGTCAAAAGCTCTCACATCATATACTCCTATAACCATATATTCATAACATTTTCACATCATACTGTCATGAAAGCTAGTCATCATATTGTCATAAAGATCTCACATCATATCATCGCATCTCTCATCATACACTCATAATGATTTCTCATTATACAGCCACAAATGAAGGCTGATGATTATACCATTATGATGCTCTCACATCATACAGTCATAAAAATCTAATATCATAGTGAGATTAAATCATAGTTCTAACATCATATAGTTATAAAGTCCTAAATGTTCTTCAACATATAGTCATCAGACAGACGTAAACTTTATCTTCCATGTATTTATGAAATTATATTGTCATAAAAGTCAACCACATGGAATAAAACAAAGAAATATCTATTTTTATCACATTTACTTCTTTTTTATAAGATGTTATCCAAATGTCTGTTAAATTTGACCATAAGACATATTCCTTACAATGACACTTAGTTTATTTCTAAGTAGCCCATTTTGGGACCAGCAAACTGGTTCACAAAAAGTACTACTCACAAAGATAAGTAGGAAAAGTCCATACTACATTTTGTTTGTGTGCCTGGTCAAACTCACAGAAATTTTGAGTATCAACTAATGCTTTGTTTCATTTCAAACCATAAAGTGAATTCAAACTAGTAGTTCCAAAACCACTTATCATGACCCAAATGAGGATTGCAGGTATACATCTGAGTGTCATGGGATACTTTCTAGAAAACAAGATGACAATATATTTTTTTTAAATATCTTAAAGTTAAAAAAAATTAACTGAACAAATATTCTAAAACACTTTTGTAATATAAAGCCTCACTAAGGCTGTGACCAATTACACCTTTACAACCAGGACAAACAACACTACTTCCACAGATTTGAATCATCCCCATTTCCCCTGTGTTCTAGATATAAAAAGAAAATTCCAATCAAACAGTTTTTTGACAAAAACTACCACCTTGTTTAAGAGACTCACACACGGATGTTTCCTTAGAGGTCAGAAAATGTAGTAATTGTTCATGAATAGAATAAACTACATGACACTACATGAATAGACTGGTGTACTCTTAAAAAGCAGAGAAAGCATTTTGGAGAAATAATTCTTGTACATGAGCATACAACACTTAAGCTACAACACTTGTCAGGATTAAAAAATATTGATTTAGAAGGGGGTCCAATTTATATCAATAAAGGGTCAGATTGATCTTTGACATTTACAGAGTTATTCAACTTAGCACTTAGCTGTTATTTACAAATTCCAAGTCTAAAATGGGTCAACATTATTAATATTTGCATATTTTTTTAATTTTTAAGTTTTTAACCTTCTTTTTTAGCCTTTCTTGAACTTTTTAAACTTTAAAAAATATTTTTTTTGTATGGAATTTTTCAAAACATGCACAGACATTTGTGATTCATAATTATTTATCTTAAAGGAGGAATAAATGGATATATCATTTTATTAATTGTTGTAAATTTCCATTCCTTAATTAAAAAGGTATATGTTCATTTGCTTGTTATTTAAAAGAAATCATTTGTAACCCTCTCTCAAAGAAACATGTTTTTGAGAATAAAACAATTAAGGTCAATAACCAATGTAAATGTTTGACACTGTATTGATAATATAAATATAAATAATAATAAAAATAAGACCCCTGTATGAATCAATAACAAATCAATAATTTTTTTATTCTGACAAGTGTCATGGCCTAAGGAAAGTCTAAAAAAGGCTAACCTACAAAAATTATTTCCCTCAAAAATTTTTCATATTTTTTATAAGTGGACCAGTTTATTAAAGTAGTGTCAAGGTCTTGTTTCTAATATTTAAGTTTCTTTTTTTGTTTTTATTAAACTATCAAAATAAACATCCAACATAAGAATAAATACTAAGGAAGTTTAAAAGTTACAAGTAACAAAAGTTACTAACCTGTTATGACCCACTGTCTGTTAAGTCCTGTATCAAAAAATTAAAAAAAGATATTTAATATAAGATATAAAAGTATCATATAAACAGCACACGTTTATTCATATTTTGTAAAGTTCAAAAATACATTTAGATTATTTACATTATTCAGACTGTTATCCTCATCTTCATTGCCATATTTACAATATTTCAGCCATTGTACATGCCAGCCTCCTTCAGATGATTGGAATTTCAAACCAAACCCTTTATTTTGTCCACCAGGGTATATTGTTCTAATTCCACGTGACATGCCTCTCCTGAATGTCTGTCATTTTTACTTTAACTCAGGTCTTCAAGATTTTTGGTTCACCACTGATGTAGCCACAAGGACACATGGCCTAGTGGATAAAGATGTTGGTTAGATCCAGTGACTAGACCCAAAGAGTTGTAAGTTCAATATATATATATATATATATATATATATATATATATATATATATATATATATATATATATATATATATATATATGATGCTTAACTCTGTACTGTCATGTACTGCGGCCTCAGTAGAAGTTAGGTGCTTGGGTAAGACATAGCCTAATCTACTCCAGGCTGGCTTGAATTCAGAGTTTTCCTTCTCCTAGACAGGTTGCCACTCAGTGTTATAGAACCCAGTCTATTCTTCTATTTACCAACAGCTGGGGGGAGAAAAGATGGATTCATACCTTTCATGAATAATTATGAACCCAATTGGAATTTGAAGTCAGCTCTATGATTTCTCAATCCAAGCCAAAATCCATTATACCACCATGCCTCCGCACACACACACACACACACACACACACACACACACATATATATATATATATATATATTTTGATTGTTTAAATAACATCACCTTGAATGACTTGAATTGTTTCCCGTAAACATTAGAACACTGGAATTAATAAAAAAATAATTGTGTAATCATATACTAAACACACTCCTTAATAATGATTGTAGTAACATTTGAAAGTACTTCAGGAAATGGATAATATAAAATAAAAGTAAACTCTAGAAAATTTACTGGTAACATAAAACAACTAATTTGGAAATTTGAAAAAAAAAAAAACATTTTAATAAAATTTTAGCATATATATATATATATATATATATATATATATATATATATATATATATATAACGATAAGTTTAAGCATATTCCTATATCTCCCTTCCCTCTCTAATTTTGATCATATTGGTTTGTTATCTTCCTTGCCCTCTTTCTATCACCTTACATCAACATAAAACTACCCCTCCAAAATTTGCATAAAAAATAATATGTAAATTTTAAACCATTTCTTTTATGCTTGGATATGTGATCTGGGGAATCAGGAAAAAAATCCATTCTTAGGAAATAAAATATGATCTATGGGCTCTCAAGGTTGTCTGTTTTTAATTTAACTATATATATATATATATATATATATATATATATATATATATATATATATTTATATATATATATATATATATATATATATATATATATATATATATATATATATATATATATATATATATATATATATATATATATATATATATATGATATAGTGGAAAAATTTTTGTATGTTGTGTTTTGTCCTTTAGAACTTCATCAGACTAAATTGTTAGGACAAATATAACAAATTTAGTCCGATATAGTCCTAAAGGACAAAACATGTCTAAGAGAACTTTTTCACTTTGTCATACATTTTCCCACAATATTATTCTTGATAGATAAATAATATATTATCACAATACATATATATATATATATATATATATATATATGTATCAGGCAATAATTATTAAATCAGTTTAACAATAAATAACTCAGTAATGTTGTAATCCATAAATATTTTAACTCTTAATACTTACCCCAGTAGATTCTAAAAGCTAATGTCCATGAATAGCTTTTAAGAAGTTTGTAGTTAGGCACTTTCACCATAAACCACTGAGACGGAACGCTTGCAATTTTTTCTTCGATTTTGACATTTCTGGTACCAATGGCCACCACAAATACTTTCACATTCTCTTGTTTCAACAATCTTGCCTCTTCAACTGTTTTTAAGAGCCTGTTGAATTTACCATTGGTGATAGCAATTGCAACATTCATAACACCAGGCCTGGCTCCAAACTGTTCTTTTATTGATAATTCTCTTGCATAAAACAAAGCTCTGTATGTATATTTCTGTCTTCTTTCATATGGAATCTTGGTAACCGCATTGAGAACTTGCCTAAGGTCTTTGTAGGCATTCAAGGTAAAGTCATTTCTCTTCATAGTGCTGTAAGTGATGATGCTTACTCGCACATGGTTGGGGGTGATATGGAAGAATTTGATGACAGCTCTCACAAAGATTTTCACTCTCCAGAAGTCGTCCTTTCGAATGTAGTTAGAAGTATCAAATATAAACATCAGGCTTAGACGTGCTGTGTTGTAACCTGATATCAGAATAAAAAGAAAAAGAATTGTAAAAATCATCTAAAATATATTTATATAAATAAATGGTAGGAATAAATAACCGAAAATGTTACTTTCAGAAGAATGAAAGATTTTTAGTTGAAGGAAAGAAGCCTTTTAACCTACATCAAATTTGGCCAAGGTCCTAGATGATAATACAATTGACTCTAAAAGCTTAAGCCGAGATGCCAGTTTATGATCAATAACATTGCTGATTCTTCTTTGACTTTTCTCAAGAATCTCTGAATACATAGCAGAAGCACCAGACTAGATATTCAATGTCTGATGAGAAACTTTATATTTTGTAAGGGATGTAACTTAATTTATATTTTTTATTATTAATGTTTTTAAATACTCAACCTGCAATTTTAGAGAAATATTAATTGATAATGCAAGTATAATCCACCATGAAAATAAAAACAAAAAATTTAAATTCTTGAAGCACTCTATATAAAAGAAAATATAACCAACACTAAATAAGATTAATAATGTGTATAGCAACAATATTTTAAAATGTCTATAAAAGCCATGTTTTTGGATGCTCAAATTGTAAAAAAAATTCTTTTAATTTTTTTTCAAAACATTGCAGGTTAAGCATTCAAAAACATTAATAATAAAAAAAAAATAAAGTTACCTCCCTTCATATTCTTAATGTTAATTTTTAAACTTACAACAACAGAGCCTGTTTCAAGAACATTTACAAAAAAATTCACAACTATCAAATACATTAATTTTTTGTCTTAGCAAATCACCACTGAAGATGTTGTTGGATGAGATTGAAAGTACTTGGGAAAATAAAAGAAGTAACTGAAACCAAAGCATCTTTTTTACTCAGTTTTGTAAAAAAAACTAAGAAATTGGTCCATGAATTTGAGAGGATTAAAATAAAAATAAATAGACATAATGTCTAGATTATTCAACCAAACATGCTTGAATGAAGATATGTTGCTTAAATATACATATAAATATATTAGAATGTGCAGCTGTTATATTATGTCATAAAGTAATTTATACAAAGAATTAATTAGCAATGTTAATGAGATTAATGGTGAAATCACTTTGCTAACAAGACTTAATGAGACATTAATTTACTATCATTTCCTTGAATAATATGATCCTTATACTTGAGTTGTTGTATATTTGAGTTGTTAATATTGACAACAACTCAAATATACAATTATCAAATATAAAATTATTAGTTATATGTGCTTAAGTATGATGCTTATTATATTTAAGTCCATTTCACTTTAACTAATAAATGCATAGAAAAAGAAAATTTTGTGGATCTATAACTTTTCAAAATTCAAACAAAATTATCACATGATTGATTTGAACAAGAATTCTAGTGTTG